GACATACAGGGAACTGTGGTTTAGAACATGACAAATAGTTATAGTTTGTTGTGTACAAGCTCAGTGGCAAATCCGGATTTTTAGACCCTGAAGCTTATGCAATTAGGGGTCGTCTTTGAGAAAAAATTACAAAAATATCTTACTTTGCAAATGTTACTGAAAAAATGATATGGCATGTGTACACATTGCTAGGTCCCCCTCCAAGATCTTGGAAGGAGCCCGGGCAAGTGAGGGCCCCAAAGCCTAAGTGTCATTAGCCTCCTGGTACCAGCTTTTTATACCAAATATTATGAATAAAAAGTACAGGACTTGGCAGCTGTCTCTCTACCTAGATGCGATAACCTTTTGTATTATAGTACCATGATTTGATTATGGTTCCTTGCCCTCCATAATGATTGACATTTAATAAGCAAACTACTTGTGAAGAGTCTACTTTAAAATCAGGCCATTATAAGTTTGGGATCCCATGCATCATCTCAAAACTCATCTCAAAATTAATTATCAATGTAACTGTTTAGCAAATCCCCAGATCTGGATGGATGTTGCGTGCAGGTTGGGTGGTGAAGAGAGTGGAGGAGGGGTTAGAATGGATGTGGAAGAGAGTCTCTTTAGAAAAGATACGCTGAGTGTGAACATTCTAAAGACTCAGGTTTTCCCTACTTTTTCTGAATCATATTTTGTAATGGTGAGTCTATTCTTAGTGCCTTCTTCGGGTTTTCTTTATAGTACTTTACTTTCCATAACCCACACATAAGCTTTCTACTTAATCTTGTCACATCTAAGGTCTGAACTACTCCCTCACTTCCAGTCTTTCTCTCAGTCCCTGGCCCTACCCATACTTGTCAGTCCATTCCCATTAATCATCTTCCAATTTTTTTTCCTTGTCTTTCATCCTACTCTTTTACTTCTGGCCTTATAGTTTTCTGTTGAAATCCTAAATCCCATTGCCTACCATCTTTATCACTACTGCCTGTCTCTTCAAACCTGACTAATTTGTCTCTACTTTGTCTTCTTGTTTAAGCCAATTAACTGTGCTGTTGTATTCAACTGTTTGACAAATGAGTATTTTAAGATATTTCTTAAAAGGTTCAAAACTAAGAATTTTGTTGCTTTTAAGCCACTTAAAAATTCTAAATGCACTCGAAGAGGCACAGTGAAGAGATACTGACTCCTTTTTGGGCTAAAATGAATTTATCTTCTGTTTTTACCAACATCAGTTCCAAAAAATGCCATTCTGCATACTCTGAAGAGCAACACCCTAAGAAAGAAATTAAGTCAACAATATAAATAGAACATCTCCCATTGCCCAGTGTTGCTAGATCTCTAAATAACATAAACAGAGAAGTACTTATCAAAGAGGAGAGGATAACAGAGACACACTACAGCACAATCCGCTTATTTGAACTGTTAGGCTTTATCTACTGTTGAAAGAGGTAGGAAAAAGTTCTACATGAACAAGGCCCATTCTTTCCTGTGCTTTATAACTTCCAAGTCATAGTCAAGAACTGATCTATGATGTATTGTCCCTTTTCACATTCTTTAGACTAGTAAAGGAAAAGTAAGAAAAAAATAATCAACATGATAGTTTGGAAATCTTTGGAATTTAAGAAAGGCTACCTTCCTACAAACTTTTCATACTTATTTTAATCAGAAGACACCTTTGTGTAGTCCACAAAACTTGGATCTCGGTAAATTTAAACATCAAATTCTGCATTCTATCCTCTATGTTGTGTTGAACTCAGAGTCAGCTTTTCTCAGCTGTCATATAATGCTTACCTTTCAGAATAGCTCTGAGGATTAGATAAGATGACATGCATTTCCTTTATACTCTACGTGGCATTTGATGGGTGCCATAAAAAGAAGGCCTCTCTGGCCAAAATATCTTTTCTGGCCAGGAAGCCAATGTTTGAACCTGCAGCAGTGCCCCCAGTTAAAATGTAGAAGAGGTGGAGGCCAGGGAGGCTAAAGGGAGTCACAGAGTTCAACTCCTTCAAGTTTTTCCTGACTTTTCTTGCCTCCCCTATCTCACACCTGAGGTTCTGCCTGACTTAGTGCTTGGACACAGTCTGTTTTTGTGTTTATACACTTGGATACCCACTCCCATGCTTCCTTCTCTGGGCTTTTCTAGATTCTTATTTCTTGCCTCCTTATCCCCTTTCTTTGAAGATTTATCAGATCATGTAACTTCACCACCCAAAACTCTCTAGTGGCTACCCTTCTCTCTCAGAGTCAAATTCTAAGCCTATGCAAATGTCCCCCCAAGTCTCCCTGCTGCCCATAGGTACCTATTTGACCTCATCTCCTTCTGCTGTGTCTTTCACTTACTCAATTCCAGCCTCTTTGGCCTCTTTGCTGTTCCTCCATTATACTTGCGTAAGCCCTCCTCAAGGGCCTTTGCACTTGCTGTTCCCTCTGTGGGGGTTGGGGAGGTAGGAGTGTGGGGATGGAGGTGAGGGAGGTGCTCTTCCCACAGATGTAGATGTGGCTATTCTAAAGCCTCTGTCAAGAATATTACCTCCTCACCAAGGTCTTTCTCTCAACATCCCCATTCCCTTTCCTGTTTCATTTTTTTTTCATTAGTACTTCTAACATACTTTATAATTTGCTTATATACTTATTTTTTTATTGCCTATCTCCTCCTCATTTAAATGTAAACTCCGCACAGGTAGACATTTTGTCTGCTTGTTAACTGGTATAGCCCCAGAGCCTAGAAAAGCACCTGCCACCCAGTAGGTGCTCAGCACATCCTTGTTGATTGAATGAGTGAATGAATGAATTCCTAACTCACTCCCTAGGAATGGAAAAGAATTCAGCCTAAAGATTTAGATGTGCATAGTACAGATAAGAGCATGGTCTCTGGAGTAGACAGCCTGGGTTCAAATCCTTGCTCCACCGCCAGCTGTCTGGATAATCTCAGGTAAAATGTATAATCTCTGTGCCCCTCAGTTTCCTTATCTGAAAAATGAGACTAATAATGGTACCTACCCCGTTAGGTTTTTGTGTGGTTTAAGTAAGTTAGTACACAAAAAACACTTAGGACACTTGATTACAGAGAATGTATTTTGATCATTTTTCCTCTGGGCAGTAGGTGCTGTAGTAGGTGATGAAGACTGTAGATGGGAAAGACTTTTCAGAGGTTTTCTTAATTTTTTGGCCTTGCAAAGTAATTTTACTTCCTTTCTCAGCTGCCTCACTTCTGTCCTAGTCATCTCAACACCCTTTCTTGTCCCTCCCCCCATATACATATTTCCTGAGGGGAAAAAAGCTGTGGTTGACTATTGTAGTTAACTAGGCTGTGCAACCCCATTAGCACTGAGGAAAAATGTGTAGTAAAATCTTTTCTGACTATCTCCTGAGAGCCATAGATAGAAAATATACAAATAGTTTGTATGACCCTAAACTTCAAGTCATCTCCAGGAAGACTTGATCCTACTCCTTTACATGTCTTTGGGTTAAATTCAACTGAATTGGAGAGTGTGTGAACTCCTCCATATATCAATTTTTTTGGCTCACAATACTGACTTGTATACTATTTGACATGAAATTGCCCCTGCCAAATTAAAGCCTGTGCTAAGATTTTATGTAGTAAAACATCATTTTATTCAGGAGCAGCTAATTTAAATTCACGTGTGTAGCCTTGAAATGTGCCTTTGTACTAAAAGTTTACAAGTTAAATTAATAGAATAAATTACATTGGAGGGATATTCCTTGAATTCCAAAATATCCAATTTAAGGAATTGCCTTCTAACCCCTAAAATTACTTTGGCATTGATTCATTGCATTTAAATGATATATTAATTACACAAGGTTTTTTATTAATTTTATAAAGCAATCCCTGGCTGAACTTGTACTTGAAATCATATTCATTATATCTCAATAAAGCTGGGGGGAAAATAAATTATATTCATATAACTAAAAGCAATACAATGACATGTCTTTAAAAAAATAGTCTATGGCTCAACCAGGGCAATATTTAGATAGTCTAATTATGATTAGGAATACAAACTAAGGTTTTCTGAAATGGAAGCTTATTTGTTTGTTTGTTAGTTTTTTTTGTTTGTTTTTTTCAAGCCAATGATTTTAGCAGATGGAGAAGTAGAACCATATTTCATTCAGCAAATATTTGCTAAGCTTCCACTGGGCATCACTGTGCTAGATGAGGAATGTGTTGATGACAAGATAACACAGTCCTTGCCTGATGGGTGCCTTACAAGTAAGACTTGACTTGTGTCACCATCTTTATGCAGGTCACACAACTGGTCTCTCATTAAATAATGACCGGCTGTACAAACTCACATACTCCACTGAAGTTTTTCTTGATCGGGACAAAGGAAAACTCCAAGACAGTGTGGGCTACCGAATTTCATCCAACGTGAACGTTGTCTTACTGTGGAGGAATCCTGATGGTGATGATGATCAACTGATCCAAATCACGGTGGGCATTTTCTACAAGAGAGACGCAAAGATTAGATGTCAGCAAAGTGTTTAAGAACTGTGCCATCTGACAGAACTTGTTTTGTGCTGTTGGTTTTATATCCATTTAGTTTGTTATCTATCACTAAAATAAGTAGACTACAGTTTTGAAGTTTTTGCTAATCAAAAGTGATCTGATCTTTCTAAATTGTTGAAGCAGGCAAAAGAAGGCATATACTGGTGAGTAACTGGAGTATGAAGTCCAGTTCTATATGTTGTATTAATAGGCACGTTAAACTAGAATCCATTTGAAATGTTCTGAGAGTGAGGAGTCTAGAATCCATGTCATATGAAAAACAATTGAGACCATGCTAACTGAAAGAGGAGTAAATTGGGACCTCCCAATTTTCCTGAGTTCCTTCATACAATAGATAGAATTGCTAATGATAGAGTAAATCTATTCTGTGTTCTTCCTAGGGAAAGAACCAGGTGCTCCCCTGCATGGCAGTATTTGGTCACTTACGATGGTTTAGATTTATGTGTTGAGAAAGGAGGTCAAATCAAATGGCCTCTAGGGCCTCTGCTAGTTTTAATATATGGTGATTCTGTATTTGCTTTTCAAGGACCTAAAGGCAATAGATTTCTTTAGTAAAGTCGGTTGTTATTCTACATATTAGTGTGAAACAGGTATGCAGGATCAAGATTTGTTTCACTGTGACAGATAAGTAGTGGCTGATAGACTCTATAATGAAGTGTCATTGCAATACATTTATCAAGTGACCTTTGCTTCTTTGGATGTCTCTAATAGCTGTTGTGTTTTCCAAGTTGGATCAAAACTTTGTCATCCACCTCTCTGAGCTATTTCTCAATAGAACAGTAAAGTGTCCTGCAGAAAACATTGTGTACCTCCTTGTTCAGCAATCAGACTGTTCATCTTTAATTTTGTATATACAGATAAAGTGCAATGGGCAGGATTCCTTTCAACAAAATGGTGCAGAAAGTGAAGAGATCAGACAGACAGCAACAGGTCAAAACGAATGACGAGAGTGACAGTGACATAAAAGAGCCATCTTCCAGTCACAATTACTGTAAACCTGAAGTTTAAGTATCAGTATTTTTACCTAATTAAAAAACTAATTTTGTAATATCTTCTCCATTCTTTCAAAGTTAATGGCTAGGTCCTATGAATCATAAGTTGAGAAACAACAGAAGAAATTATGGCCAACTCCATTTATTGCTTTACCATTTTATTTTCTAAGAGACTCTGATGGAAACAGACATAGGAAGATTTTCTAATAGGTTTCTTTCCATGATTCCAGATGAAGGATGTAAATGTTGAAAATGTGAATCAGCAGAGAGGAGAGAAGAACATTTTCAAAGGAAAAAGTCCACCCAGCATCATAAGAAAGGGAAACTTGAAAGCTTTACAAAGACCTGTCCTCCTTCATCTAATCCATGGAAAGGTAAAAGTGATTTTTGGGTTCCCACATCTTTTTTCTCGAATATCATATTTTTCTTCCTTTTAGTAGATATTATTTTAAGGTGATCATGGTGTCACTACTTTTATGGTAAATGGAATTTTTTCAAGAATTAATAAACAGAGGTTGCAAATTAATGTTTCAGAAGTAAATCAAGGCATTGCATTCACTAGCCATTTATGTTATCTATTTTTATGAAAATCTTTATAGTAGAATCAAGTATTTGTTTATTGATGAGAGGCATTATTAAAAGGTGCATATCTTATTAAATTATGAAGGATTAAAAAGATATTGTAACACAACAGGCCATCACACACGATTAGATAAATTCAAGAAAGTTGACAAATTATGAGAATGAAATGATCTAACTCAGATAAGTGATATTAACTTGTTATGAGAATATGAATATCTGGCTAAAGTATAAAATTGAAGCTTTTGAAAGAACATGGAACTCTTAAGGTAGAGTTGATTTTTTTAAAAAAGCACTTAGAGATTATTTAAAGGCTATGACTTCGAAAAGCATTTTATATACAAAGTTATTAATGAACACCATAATATTCATTTGGAAATTTGCTCAGAAAATTCTTTGTGTGCATTACTTATGGTTTGATTCTAGTCTATTAAAATGGTCTTAATATGTTTGGAATTGAGAAGAATTGTGATCAGTGAATTATTAGGCATTACACATGTGGGTTTATGAAAAGTGTAGATATTATATTGACATGGATAAAAAGGTATCAGTAAAGATTAAAGCTCAATTTTAGGAATTATAGTAGAAAAACAGAAAGGGACCCTTATAGTTAAAAGTCTACACATTTCTAAAATTTCTCCAGATTCAAAATAAAAATAAAAAAAATAGTTTAAAATATAAATTTCAGGCATGTACTATATTGCTAATCACAATGCACATTTTTATATAAAGTACTATAAAGGGACTCACAAAAGGATTCTTGTGTCGTCACCTCTCCTACAACCATCTATGAATCACCATCTCAAGAACGCTTCTCTTCCTTCTCTACTTGTCAAAATACCATGTTTCAGGCTTTGCTCACAGGCCCTTTCTTTTGTAAAGTTCACACCCTTCCAGCCATCTGGAAATAACCATCCCTTTTTAGAACCCTCTTAGAATTTTGTAGCTCATGCATGGCCCTTATTACTTTCCTCTTGGTCATTTGTGTTCATGGTGGATTATGGGTTTTGGCAGAGAAAATTCCCATTCCTCTTTGTATTCCAGGCCCTCCTCCTCACCCTCAGGCCCTTCCACTCCCTTCCTCCCCAAACCACCCAGAAGCGTGCACTGACTGACTTGGTGTTCCAGGAAGCCTTTCCCAATGTTCTCCCAAACCCCTTACTCCCCTGGGTTTATTTCTGTCTAAGCATTTATCACGATGTATTGTGATTCTCTCTTTATTTGTACACTGTCCAGATTCAGAGTAAGCTTCTCATGGGCAGCAATTGTGTCTTTATCTCTGTATATTACCACCTTGCTTGTAGTGGGAACTCAATAAATGTTTGTAAACTAGAGGAATGAACAAATAAGGTTATATGGGACTAAAATGAATTGAACTTTGAGAAAGGCTTTGCTTATTGTTTGCTTAATAATAGCTAAAATGTACTGAGCACTTAACTGTGCCCCAGAAGCTGACTGAAGGCATTACATGAATTCTCTCTTTTATCTTCACGACAGCCCCAGGAAGCAGGTGCTGCTTCATCATCCTCTTGTAATAGATGAGGAAACCAAGCTTGAGAGAAGTAAAGAAACTTGCCTAGGGTCACACAACTGGCAAGTGGTGGAGCTGGGAAGGTCTAATTTTAGAGTCTAGGCAGGAAACCTTCTATGTATACTGCCTTCTAGGTGGAAAGTATTTGGGAAAATACCACCTCTTTGGTTGACTTGTAGTATTCCTATTTCATTGTTCACCGAATCTGTTAACTTACCTGATTTTCATATGGCAAAACTTTGTTAACAACATGAAATCCTGTTATTTTCTTCTCTGGCCTTCCAATGTGCCAAGACACTTGAGCCCATAAAATATTAATTGCATTTATAGTCTTAATGACAATCAATCATTTTATAGCCCCTTGGGTAGCAGTTGAGTACAAAGTCTTTTGTTACACACACAAAAGGACTCACTGTCCTCACTGTGCAAAGGCTGAGATGGAGCTGCCACATCATTATTTCAGTCCCTCCAGCATGCCAGTTCTAGAGGAGCTGTGACATGTGATGTAAGTCCCTTTACTGCAGCCACAGGTTAAAGTGCACTGTGATATCTTTCAGTTATACAATAAAATTCTTGCTGGGAAAAACATGACCCTGGGGACTAAGAAGCCATGTGGAATTTTCAGCCGCATCACGGTCAGAAAGATTATTATTTGGACTATCACTTCAGCTTACTATGAGAGAAATTATGAAAGGAAAGGCTGAACTGTTGATTGGCAATTTTCTTAAATAGTGCTTTCTACCCCAGGCTCAAATTAAGTTTTACTCCCTGAAATTTCTGTGATTTCAAGGATGCTCATCAGCATGTATTTTTTGTCCTTCCAGAGCCCCATGTTCTAAGCTCCCATATTTACATTATAAAAGAGAGCCCATTAAAATACTTCGATGCATATTTATTGCATATATTCTGTTTTTCCATGCCCACTTATCTCCCCTATGTAAGTGTCTGGGTATGACTCTAGTTTTGTCTACAAATCATAAATGAAGTTGGAAACATGACAGTTTTTTGGTTAAGTTGATTAACACTGACAAGCAAAAGATGCCTCAAGTTACAGCCCGAAATGTAACAAGTTACAGCCTCAAATTTTTGGCCTGAAATGCTAATCCAGTTAACTGGATAATTACCAGCTTTCCATTTCTGATTTTCACTGTCAATATCCATTAAATTAACTATGTGGCTGCTGAGTCAGCTCTTTATTTGGTGTCATATCTAGGCATTGGTTTGCTCTCTGAATCTGGCAGTGTGACTGCTGTACACACACTGAACCTCTAAAAGAAATGTGACACCTTGAAAACCTTCTAATTCTTCATGTATTTCTCCACTTGTCTGTTTCCCAATGCTCCATTTCCTAGCTATGCTCTGTCTTAGACACATATCAAAGATATGTTTAGAGACATAGCTCCTACTAAGTAGACCAAAAAAAATGACTAATCTCTGTTTGCTGAGATTCTTTTTATTTATTTTTGCTGTTTGGCCAGTTAATGGAATTTTGCTTTCTCTTATCCTTAAAGAATGTACGAATTAAGGGAATTTATAGAAGCATTTTTTTCCTAAGGAAAAAATATGAATAATCCCTACTGATTGCAAAGGGAAATTGGCCCTCAAAATTTGGCCAGAACAGGCACTGTATCTCCTTCCCCACAACCTACCCATCTCCCTCTGTGCTTGGTTCCTTGGGATAAAGGCTTAGTTTGTAACGAGGTTGTGCCACTGCTGCTCTCAGGAGGCTCTGGGGACTGTGAATTTAGATGAGAGTCCTGTGTTCTCAGATGTTCAGAGCTCATTTCAGAACTGAATGAAGTAATCAGCTTTATGGCCTGAATATAATAAAACTTACTCAGTTCCTGTTGAGACATAATGAATTTAAGTTATTGCTGTGATGACCACATGGATTGAACTGCAAAGTTCTGACTTTATTATTATTTTTGTAATTATCTAAAGCCTGCCCAATTCTAACAGTTTGACATTTAGCTAATATGGATACCAGTGCTGTCTTCATTTTAGATCTTGTTGGTCTGCACTAAAGGAACAGAATTTAGGCCCCAAATGTAGCAGTCATACAAAGGAAAAAGAGACTTGTCCACTTTTCTAGTTCTGGGGAAGTAATAAAAACTAATAGAAGGAATGAAAAAAAAATTCTCTTTCTGTCTCACAGTTTACATTGTTCAGCCTGCTAGGAAAAAAAAAAGTATCTAACACCATTTTCTTAGGGACCTAGCAGTCAAGATCAAAACTTGATCCATAGAAATGGCCAGTAATAGAAGAGCATTTAACCTTATGCGTAGTCCAAAGATGAAAAAATCTGACCACTGGGTTTCCTAAAATTTTAGGTAAAACTTTATAAGTAGTTCAGGCACATTTTGTAGCCTGGAAGAAAGTGAGGATACTGATGATAGTACAAGTATTTTTCTCACTTAATGATCCTCTTGCTTTCTGAAGTATTTAAGACTCAGGCCAGAAAAGTCATAGGCCGTAGGCATGTGTGTTTTGCCACTGAGCGAGCACTTCTGACTGCGTCTGGGCTCAAGGGGTCCAGTTATGAACCTCTAATAGTCATGATATCTGGAGATACCATACTCCCAAGTATTTGAAAAGGAAATTACACTGTAATTTTTAAAAGGAAAGAAGACCCACTTTACAAAATAGAACATCAAAAACTCAGCCTTGGCTCTGAGAGATTGCCATTGATTTGTTTGAGAATATGATAGCATGGATTTTCAGACGCTGAGGTCACTATTCTAGTTCCTTTTTAACCTGGACAAACACAATTCCAACATTTATAGGTTTGTCTAGTGTAACGACTAAAATTGACTGCTGAATAAAGTACCTATAAATCTGTCACTAGGCAGAGTACATGTAGAAAATAAAAATAGAGATTTTGGCACTTGTTTGGATAATTCAAACAAAATATTCTCTTCTTCTAAGGTAGGAGAGAGTTTTCCTGTAGGCTGAATTGTTCAGACTGATGTTAATTCGTTGCGTAATTACTGAGCTGTCTGCTTTCCTTGAGAAGCCGTGGCTGGTTTTGAAGAGCAATGGGAAGGCATTCTGGGTATTTCTGTTAGAAAAGCTCAGCTATAATTATCATATGCCTTGGGAATTTTTATAGGGAAGCTATATCCATCCTCTATTTGTAATTGTGTGAAGTCTTTGGGGTTAATACTGGGTGAAAAATGGCAGACTGCTTTCCAGAAAATTCTCATCATATTTTTATCCTTGTTTCTTAAACATGAGCTAAATTATCAACATAGTGTGAGACATTGTTATGACCCTTGTGCCTGTACATATCAAGGATGAAACAAAGCTAAGGTAAGCCATTTATTATGTCAGCCAAATCGGTCACCCTCCTCATTTCAACTTCCTTTCCCTTCCTTCTCAAGGGAAACTCAAAGCAGTGCCTGGGGCAGGCCAGGCAGTGGTAGCATTCTCAGCCTCAACTCTTCCAACCGCTAGATCTCCTTTACCCATGGCCAACATGAATGATCTGGAGGGCCGGAGAAAGTCAGCTCTGTGGAATTTTGTCGATGGGCTTTATGGTGATGTCTGGCCCTTGTCACAGCCCGTAGAGGCTGTGCTGTCTCAGGAGTCTCAAGGGTGGTGATTGCCATTCTCTTCCAAGAACCTATTTCTCTGCTGTTATTTTAAACCTTGGTTAGTTTTTGTTTCAAGCAGGGTGACAGGTAAAGAACATGCTGACATGTTCAAAGAGAATGCTCCTGATTTCTCTTCCTTAGGCGATCTTGCTTGTTTTCACAGAAATCCCAGCCTATATCAGTGTTCTCTTCCCTTCCCTATGCTGTGCCCATCATGTTCAGAGCCTTCATTATTATTCTCCTGAAATTTCATATTCTGATGGTTTAGCTTCTTAGAAATGTAAATAGCTTCTTTTCACAGAAAAAGAAATCCCAGCTTTGGAGTAACAAACCTCTTTCTCCCATTATTGATCCGGGTGAGAATCTGACCCTTCCTGCCAGTTATTTAACCAAATCTGATAAATGATGCATTTTTGCCTCATTTATGTTTATCCTTTTTCTCCCTTAGGTCAAAGAGTTCTACTCATATCAAAATGAGCCGGTGGCCATAGAAAATATTAAGAGAGGCCTGGCTAGCCTATTTCAGACGCAGTTAAGCTCTGGAACCACCAGTGAGGTACTTACTAATATCGAAGATACAGAATCTTATTTGTCAATAGAGTTACCAAAATTGTTTATATGGATTTCTATTGGTAGAAATTCAGTAAAAAAGTTACTACTGTGGTAATGCTCAGAAAAGGTGAGTTGGATAGTCAAGTCTCATTTACATGTGAAACAAATTGCCATTTACCCCAACATTTTGTTACTCAAATACATGGTAAAGGAAATTAGAATCAGTTATACTTAAGGAGACCTATTGAATGACTAAATGTTGGAGATGCAGAAAACCTTGGGGAGCATTCCAGTGACATCACTGTGCATCGCTATCCCACAAGGAGCTTGATAAAAATATAGATTCTCTGGATTCACTGTAGAGATTCTTATTCAATAGATTAGGAAGGACCTGAGCATCTGTATCTTAACAGTTTTCTCATATAATTTGGATGCATTGTCAGTTTAGGGAACCACTGGTCTATACCAACCCCTTTCATTTTATAGACAAAGAAATTGAAGTTAAACTAGAGAAGTTAAGTGGCTCCCCCAGTATCACACCTGGAGTCAAAGGTAAAGCCGAGTCCAAGTTTCCTGCTCTGAATTCAGCCACCCATGAGTGGGTGAGAAAATCTGATGGTAGGGCTGGACCAAGGGAATTGTTGGTTAGTTTGCTAGAATAGAGGCTGAGTGTGGTGCTGGCAGAGGCCCGAGGGAAGGCTCAGAGAAGCTAAACAGAGTCTGTATTGGGATAGATTTGCCTACACTAAAGTTGTTGTCATTCATAATGAGTTGAATTAATCCCACAGGATTTTAAGAATTTCTAATCATATTCAGCTAGTCAAAATACACGCACACACATGCACACATTCACATACACAGCCTAGATGCAGCATTAAAAGTCAACTCCCCTTGCCATATAATTACCCATTTACCAGAGGTTTTGGTTATGACCGGCAATTTGTCTAATTCTTATTAGACATTAAAGAGAAGTAGGAAATCCTTTATTATTTCTGGGGCAATAAGAAGGCACTAGAAGGTCTCGACAAAAGAGGATGGAAAAGACTCCACATGCTGCAGGAAACGCTGAGTTCCTCCTGTCTTGCTATCTTGTGAGCCTGGACAAAAGGCAGTTCCCAATGGTTTATTAGGGACCCCAATTTCCAAGCCACTTCCCACTAAGATTCAAATGGTCTATAAGAGAATCCCAACATTATATTTTCACTTTTCTTTTTAGGTAGATATTTCCGGGGATTGCAAAGTGACCTACCAGGCTCATCAAGACAAAGTGACCAAAACTAAGGCCTTGGATTCATGCAAAATAGAGAGGTCTGGATTTACAACCCCAAATCAGGTATGATAGATATCACTTTCTTTGAGGCATTCAAATAATCACATTTTTTAGAGATTAAAATAATAGAAAAATAAGGTAACAATATAATTTGGGAATATTTACAATTTTCAGTTCAGAGTATAGTTTCACACATCAAATGAATCACTTATTTTATTATATTATAAGTGTGGGTGATGGAGGGAGGGTGTGAAAGGGAAGCTCTTTTAAAGATTAAAAGGGAGTTGTCTATTTGACTTGATTCAAAGATAAAAAGTGGATTACTTGTGACTTCTACAAATATTTATTTATTATTTAGGTCTTGGGTGTCACTTCGAAAGCCACATCTGTCACTACCTATAAGATAGAAGACAGCTTTGTTGTAGCTGTGCTCGCAGAAGAGACACATGCTTTTGGGCTGAACAGTCTACAAACTATTGCAGGCAAAATAGTATCAAAGTAGGATAATTTTTATTTTCTTTTCTGTTATTTGATATATTATTATACTTGGTTTTTAATAGGTGGATACATATGTGTGTGTGTGTATATAGTGCACCCTTATTTTGACTATGAGCTCCTCAAAAACAGTCGTTATATCTTGCTCATCTTTATTTTTCACATCATCTACAATAATATATGGCATGTAATAAAACTTCTATTTTTCAACAAAATTTCATGAAAAATCACTTGTTTATTGAAAAGAATTTGAATTTTAAAAAGATAAGCTATTTGATTCATTCTAGTTAATTTTCTGATTTCTCTGTCAAATGTTTTTAATATTCAGGTTAAAAAGTGGTGGCATTTGCGTGTTTTCCCCTTGAGAGTTTTTTTGTTATTATTGTTAAGAAACACGTAAAAAGTTCCATAGAAAAGCAAGTCACAGAATTTTTGAGGTGATTTATAACACTTAAATATTCAAGCCTGTTTCTTCAATTTGAGGAAATTCCTCTGGTAGGAATAGATCTCACAGGATTAAAAACGGGAATTCTAAATCTAAGAATATGTGTTATTTTCAGATTTTAATTCAGAAAAGAATATTTTCTAGCATTAAATGTAATATACCTTATGCCATTGCTTCTCAAATGTTTCTTCTGAAGTGGCCCTAATCTCAGAGGTGAATGGATGCAAAATCTTAGGAGAAGTGCCTCAAACTATAAATGCTTTGAAATTTTATTGAAGTCTTAGCTGGAGTATAATTTTGCATTCTACTTTATACTATATCTATATTATTTTCATATAAACTAAATATTTCCAACTGCTTATCAAGTCTATCAGGTTTCCATTGGTATATAACAGACCATCCCAAATTTAGTGGTGTAAAAAGCAACAATCATTTTATCTTTCTCTCTCATAATTCTGGGGCTTGCCTTCGCCCAGCTAGGCATGCCTTGCTTGGCATCTGTTATACAGTAGCAGACAGTCACTGGCCATAGCTGGAATCATTCAATGGTTGCTCTCTCACCTATCTGGTGCCTGGGCTGGGAAGACTTAAACTACTGAGGGTCCTCATGCATCTCTCTTTATCTCCATGTGCTTCTCAACACAGCAGCTTCAGCTAGACAGACCTCTTAGGTGGCAGCTCAAGTCTCCAAAGGTACCTGTGCTACTGGCATGCCAGATGAGAGCTGAGTTCCCATTTATGACTTAGTCTCAGAAGTCACATCGTGTCACTTCCACCATCCTCTATTAGTCGGGGCAGTCACAGAGTCCTGCCCAGTTTCAAGAAGATGGATGTATATGCTACCTCTTGATGAGAGAGAGACAAAGTTCTGAAAGAGCATATCAGACAAAAATATTATTGAGGCCATTTTTGGAAAATAATATTTCCTAGTTATCTGGGGTAATAAGTGGCATGTGGTTGTATTGAAGATAGCATTTTCAGAAAGCTGGGCTAAATTCGAAAGAGGTGACATCACATATCTTGTTCAGCATCCAGGCAAATTTTTTTTCCCTGTATTCTCTTGTCATAATATTTTGAAAATTCAGACTTAAATTTTCAAATCTTTGAATAAAATTATTGCTCCAGAAAGATTTCATAATTATCTTGAGATTTCTGTAATCGCTGGAGATACTACAGTTTGAAAGACATGGTCTTACACAATTTGAATGTATTAGTATCCTATTTGCCAAAAGAATGGCAGTTAGTAGCTTGTTCACTTAAAAGAATGCTGGTAATGTGATATTTCTCTTGCTCGGTATGCAGGCAGAAATTAGAGCTGAGGACGACTGAAGAAGGCCCAAGACTAATGCCTGGAAAGCAAGTTGCAGCCGTAATTAAAGCAGTTGATTCCAAGTATGTGGCCCTTCCCATTGTGGGACAGGTCTTCCAGAGCGAGTGCAAAGGATGCCTTTCTGTAAGTGCAAAGAACTGCTTTGTGTGGCCAAATGTGGAAATAATCATGGCTTAAAATTCTATTTTCCTTTTGTCTCCACTGGAAGCTTCAGTTAATTCTAAGAAAGTTGATAAAGAACCACCAGACATAACTGAGTTAGAATGGCACCTGCAATGGTGAATAATATAACAAGAATTAAAAATAACTACCATCCATTCATCTCAGATCAAAAATGTTATGATTTAAGGGCAACTTCTTAAGAGTAGCACCTAGAAAGCAGGAGGAATAAGGGCCTAATGAAGTTAGGGGGAACCATGTGGTGTCAAGACCATGCACAGGGATCCAAATCCTGAAAGTTCTGCCATTTTAGTAGAGATGTGTTCACAGGTGAAATATTTTACTGAGCTCAGTGTTCTGAGTAATGCTGTGAGAACTAAAAAAGGATACCAAGCTCTCTGCCTAAATTAGGAAACACATCTTTACCACACCCCAAACTGCCCTCCAGTGACAGCCAGAAACGAGATAGCACATCCCCAAGGCAAAGTGTAGATCATCTTATTACATTTTTAATCCAGCAAAGAGAAAGTTCATTTATTGCATCAATAATGATATATGGCCACAGAAATGACGTTATGGTCCAGCATTTCCCAATTCTTAACCTCTTGTCAAGGGAGCAAACCTTTGGCTTCATGCTCTGTTCATAGCTACCAGAAGATGCTCGTCCCTTGGTTATTATTGGTGTTCAGAGAAGTAGAATCATCAAGAACTAATACCATAATTTGCTTAAAGTATGAGGCGCTAATTCCTTGTTAGTTTCTCAATTTTATCAAAATTGAATTAAGGGGAATATAAAATAAAATAGAAAATCATCATTCTCAAATTTTTTTCTTTTATTTGTTTTTTCTTCCATGTATCATTTAACGTTGCAGTATAATTTTTTAATGTCATATGAGATGGAAATTATTTAGGAAAGTGACTAATGAAAGAGATAATCTTTTTATGCTGTGAACTATTAATTTCTCCCCCCATAGTTATTAAACATTATGAGCCATCTAAGATTTTTGATAATTATTTCATCATTATTGTAGGAAGGGTTTATGTCTCCGAGGAATTTCCTTTTCCACCTGCAGTATAACGTCACCATTGCAACCCTTTAAAGAAAAAAACATCTAAATTCACACTGATGTGCTCTCTGCCCTCAGAAATGACCCATTAAATCTTTAGCTAAGTACAGCTGGAATTTTGCTTTGGAATATCCTCTTAAGATTAGATAACCAAAAGGGATTTGAAAAAGAGCAAAATATGTGTCTCTTGCTTATTAGAAGGAATTAATAATTTAAAAACTAGTAGCATGATGATTACCCCAGAGTTAGGGAGTTGGAGTTCACTAATGGGATTTAACGCCTTTTTTACAACTAGGCGAAAAGTGGTCAACTATGAAAAATAAGTGCTTTAGCTTATTTCAAAGCCAAAAGATGTTATTAATTGGAACTGTTTACTATTTTTAAAACCACAGTGGAATAACAATAGTGTGTATGAGAATTACCTTTGTGTAGATACTACTCTAACGTATAAGTAATGAATAGTTCAGACCTCAGCGATAGTTAAGCATTGATTTCATTCAAACAATAAAATGAAGAGATAGAATAGGGAGCTCAAATTAGTACAAAGACTGATTTTCAGTGAGGTCTCAGTAAATGAGAAACCTGACACAATTCTTTAGCAATTCTGATTTTTTTAGCCCTCCAATATCGTTTTTCCCCCTCCAATGCCATTAATTAATATTCTGTACAATTTCACTGTGGTAGTCAAAGCCTGGCCTCAGATATAACTCCCTGGGTGTAACCATGGAATGATCTATATGCCCAAAGCCCAAACTCCTTTGAGCTAAATACTAATAGACAAAAATGATCCTTCTGCAAAGGAATTGCCCCCAGGGTCAACAGGCCTCTGTATTTGCCTCTGAGAGTCACACAAGGGTGATATGAGCAGGGGGCAATCAGGTATAATGAGGTAAGATGCAAAAAGCTTCCTTTGCTTGTCAGGTAGGAGGAAAAATTTATTTCTGGGGAGAACATCCCTTGTAAAGGCGGATATTTAGAATTCTGAGTGCGGTACAAGCCTCAGCCATGTTTTGCAGCTCTCAGAGCACTGGCAGGCCACCAGAAACCACCTGCAGCCCGACAGCCTCTCCAAAGCTGAGGCTGTCAGGAGCTTCCTGGCCTTCATTCAGCACCTCAGGACTGCAAAGAAAGAAGAGATTCTCCAGATCCTAAAGGCTGAAAGCAAGGAAGTACTGTAAGTACCCTGAACATTGTGTGGAGTTGTCTGTAGGAAAGCCTTTCTGGGTCATTGGTTTTTTGGGGGTTTTTTTTGGTGAGGAAGACTCGCTAACCTCTGTCGCCAATCTTCCCCTTTTTTTGTTTGAGGAAGATTGGCCCTGAGCTAACATCTGTGCCAGTCTTCCTCTATTTTGTATGTGGGACGCCGCCACAGCATGGCTTGACGAGTGGTGTAGGTCCACGCCCGGGATCCGAACCTGCAAACCCAGGCCATCAAAGTGGAGCGCGTGGAACTTGAACCACTCAGCCACAGGGCCGGCCCCAAGAGTATGACTTTTTCCATTGAAAAATGTGATTTCATTAAAGATTCAATGATCACCCCCATTGAAGCTGTGTTTTATATAGAAAACTGAGAACTGAGGTAAACAGCCAAAAGAATCTAGAAAAAAACCTGTGCATTATTTGAATATTTGGTGAAAGTGTGATTCATTGTACATGCCTAATAGAGTTGACTTAATTCTCAAATTTACTTTACCTGTAAATACAAATGTTTTTCGTCTGTAATATAGAATTTGTAAGTGCAAGTTCAGCTGTATGATATCAATTATCCAAATGATATAGAACATGGCTCAATTCATTTGACAAAGTCGAAACTAGCCATTAACGTAATCAAAAGTGGTAATTGGCCAAGTCACACGCATGCACACACACACAGCAGCAGTAGTCACTGAGTTCAAAGGACTTCATTCTCTAAGAAGAAGAGAATTTAGCTTTTTCTCTGAGAAGTCTGTTTGTTCTTGATTGTCTTTGTTATTTACTTGCCTTGAGGACGTTAAAAAAATTGATAGGAATTCCATATGACTAACCACAGTTGGTTGCTCTCTTCAAAAATAAATATTTAAGCCAGAAGTTGAAAGATATACAAACTCATAAATTCTCAGACCCTGTTATAATCATAGAACTGTAAAGTATATTTGTAGGGTGATTTGTCTTTATATCAAAGACGAAAATACTGACAAGAAAGTGCAAAAATTAGCTATTAATTTAGAATAGAAATTACACTAAACCTTAACCTGGTTTGTATGCTAGAAATCTTAAGGCAGCAATAATTTGGATAACTTTATGTGTTTGATAAATCAGATTATTTTCAAAATATTGTATCATATCATCTTTAACACACATGTGGCGGGCCAACCCCCTGGCTTAGCGGTTAAGTGCGCAAGCTCCGCTGCTGGCGGCCCGGGTTCGGATCCCCGACGCACTGCTTCTCCGGCCATGCTGAGGCCGCGTCCCACATACAGCAACTAGAAGGACGTGCAACTGTGACATACAACTATCTACTGGGGCTTTGGGGGAAAAATAAATAAATAAAATTAAAAAAAAAAAACACACATGTGGCATAGTGTAGTAGAAAGGATACTAAGATGAACTAAAATCAGAAGACCTACTATTAAATTCTGATCTCCAACAGCATATAACCTTTAAAGCAAGTCATTTACATTAAGCCTCTCTGAGCCTCACTTTCAAGATCTGTAAAATACGGAGAATAATTCCTTCTATTTATTGTAAGATAGTGAAAGGCAGGGTTGTGGAACGTAACATTTCCCAAAGTGTCTATTGTGCGTATCCTGTAATTTGCAGAATATTAACCAGCATGCCAAAAGAAAAGGATTCTGTGAGGAGCAACTGGGTTTGAAAAACACTGGGTAAAACCAAGTCAAATAGTTCTCTTTGCTACAGAAATTTTCAGCATGTTTAATCAGATAGTATTATGTATAAGTTTCCTTAAATATCATCTAAACTTACATGACCTTGAGAACCCCTCTTCTTAAAGCATTTTGTAGGGCTAGAGTTGCACAGGAAACACTTTGGGAAACAGTGATGTCATTAAAAGATCATGGATTCCAGAGTCAGAAAAACCTGAGTTCCAGTCCAGCTGTACACTTGCCAGCTATGGGCCTTTCAACAAATGACTCACTACCTCTGAATCTGTTTCCTCATGGGTAAGGAGGCATATTAGTATTAAACTGGCAGAGATGTTCAGTGGATTAAATGAGGTGATTGTAGTAATAACAGCATATATTTATTGAGCAATTACAATGTGCCAAGCACTATTCTAAGTGTTTTACAAAGATTTTGTAATTTAATCCTCCCAACAATCCTAAGGTAACTACTGTTTTTAGCCCCATCTTATAGATAAAGAATTTAAAGCAAAAGAGAAGTTGCCCACCTAAACTTTCTAGTGCAGTGCTGGCATAATAGTCACTTAATAAGTATTATCTCTCAATCTTTGCTTTATTCACCAGGTTTTTGTTAGGATCAAAATGATATAGTGCAAGTATATCATTTTTTTTTAAGTATAAAGCACTAACCACATGCATGGTGTGCTTATCTGGATGTGGAATATAATATTTACATACATAATATGTTCATTAGTATGACAAGTAGTTTCAGAAATTTCATGATACCAGACTCAACCAATCAAAGATTCTTGATGACCAGAATATGTAATTAGAACTTTCTGATAGGACTTCTGCTCTGCCCACACATAATCATTGTGGTTGAACTATACCATGGTGCTTTTTATTTTTTAAAAAATATGCAAAACTTCTCCTTTAGTACAAATTAAAGTTAAAAGAATTTTCCATCTTTCCATTAAATAATCCTACCTCAGTAAATAAGGCATTTGGGAAATGTGTATATTTGCAAAGCTAATTAGAGAATGAGAATCCATGTTGGGGACCATGGCTTTTATGTATTACTCATGTAGAAAAGAAGTAGAACCTAATTTGTAACTTTATTTATATAATTTGTGTGTGTGTGTGTGTGTGTGTGTGTGAGGAAGATCAGCCCTGAGCTAACATCCGTGCCAATCCTCCTCTTTTTGCCGAGGAAGACCGGCCCTGGGCTAATAGCATCCGTACCCATCTTCCTCTACTTTATATGGGACACTGCCACAGCATGGCTTGACAAGTGGTGCATCAGTGCACGCTGGGGATCCGAACCTGCAAACCCTCTGGCCGCCGAAGTGGAGCGTGCGCACTTAATCACTACACCACCGGGCTGGCCCCATATTTATATAATTTTTATTTACAAGTCTCCAAATTATATTTGGCTGAGGCTAATATAGTAAAGTTAGTTTGTATATTCTGAATTAACATTGAGTTAGGGAGAAAAGAGTTAAGGGAGAGGTTTAAAATAAAATGGGTTTTTTTTCAAGGTCATTCACGTTTTTTTTGTTCAAATAAAAACATTTCACTTCTTTAGGAAACTCAAACCAATGGAGAGTCTGTGAATGGTAGAGACTTTAAATAATTTCTTAAGCACCATAAACATTGATATCCATCACTGTGCCTTTTTCCTAGTCCTCAGCTGGTGGATGCTGTCACGTCTGCTCAGACTCCAGACTCATTAGATGCCATTTTGGACTTTTTGGATTTCAAAAGTGACAGTAGTGTTATCCTCCAGGAGAGATTTCTCTATGCCTGTGGATTTGCCTCCCACCCCAATGAAGAACTCCTGCGAGTCCTCATTGTAAGTCAAATGGACGCTGGGGAAATAAAGGCTCCTAGCTGCTAAAAAGCTCATAAGAATCTAACCAGTAAGTAAAAGTTGCTGGATCAGAATGAAGGATGAAACTAGAGCCTTCTATTTACATTCAAATTCTATTGGGCTCTTTTTTTATCCATTAATCATTAACTGTATAGTAAATTATTTCAGATAATGTCCTCTTCACAATTCCTCTAAACAACATAACTATACTTTATGGAAATTTAAAGATTGTGTTCACCTGTCATATAATGTGACAGGACAAAATTTCAGATGGGAGAAGTCTTGGTTATGCTTCAAAAATTGATTTTAAAGGATTTGTTTTGATTTCAAAAGTCTTCATTGTATTTAATGCACAGTACATTGAAGAGATACAGTTCTTTAGATATTAAAAAATTTATATTAGAAATAAAAGCTAGACTTCTCTTGGGTCCAAAATTTAAAAACAAAAAGTATACTTACCCACTTGTGATCTAGTGGAAGAGTTCATAATCTTTTTGGAAAATGGGCCCATTTGAGAATCTGTTAAAGCAATGAAGCCCCTTTTCACACATATATAGAGTTTTACAGACCATTTTCTTGGTTCACTCACCCAATGAACCCAATCCATAAACCTCTGGGGAGTTCATAGACCCATGTTAAGAATATCTGGAACGGGGAGATTCTATTAACTCTTCAATTCAAAGTTAGACAGTGAATGTCTAAGTGTTCTCAAAGCAAAATTCTTAGTTTGCAATCTAGAAATATAAAAACATTTCCTCAGGCATTGGTTACTTTGTCTCTTAACTAAAAATGTCCTTTGGAAATATTTAAATGTTTTGGTAACCCATTTTATCCCTGTTTGGCTACAGAGTAAGTTCAAAGGTTCCTTTGGGAGCGATGACATCAGAGAAACTGTTATGATCATCATTGGGGCCCTCGTCAGGAAGCTGTGTCAGAACGAAGACTGCAAACTCAAAGTGAGTGCAAATCTGATCTCAAGTCTTATATGTATAGTTCCAGACCATTCTATGTCCTACTCACTGTGTTGCCCACCACTGGCACCCCTAATCCCCCTTACCCTACTCTATTTTCAATATTTGCTTAGCAATTATTGCCATCTAACATACTTTATAATTCAGTTATTATGTTTATTGTTTATTTCTCTCTCCCACTGAAATGTAAGCTCTATGCAGAAATAGATCTTTGTTCAACACCAATTGCTTAAAGTGGTGCCTGGTACATAGAAAATGTTCAATGAATACAAGCAAATAGTCCATTAATCCCCCATCAATATATATTGAGTGTCCACTATATATCAGCTTTGAATGCTATGTATGGTATAGTTCTTGTTTTTAGAAAAATATCTACTCTAGGGCTACCTCCTAGAGCAGAACTTTATCTATAGTAGGTGTGGTTTGCAGTTTTGAGTTTTGATGGTGGGAATTTAGTTACTTCTAATTACTTAGAATTTTACATTTTATTTTTAATTTCATTTGCTCAAACCTTCTCCACTTGCCTGAAGGGACTATCATTTTTAACATCTTTCTCATTAAAATAAAACAAAACCCTCCATGAGCATAACTAAATATGGAAAATCCAAATGGATTAATATCCAACACAGCCTATCTTTCTATAATGCAAATAGATTAATGATACTGAACAGGGCCGGCCCCGTGGCTTAGCGGTTAAGTGCATGCGCTCCGCTACTGGCGGCCCGAGTTCGGATCCTGGGCGCGCACCGACGCACCACTTGTCCGGCCACGCTGAGGCCGTGTCCCACATACAGCAACTAGAAGGATGTGCAACTACGACATACAACTATCTACTGGGGCTTTGGGGAAAAAAAGGAGGAGGATTGGCAATACATGTTAGCTCAGAGCCGGTCTTCCTCAGCAAAAAGAGGAGGATTAGCATGGATGTTAGCTCAGGGCTGATTTTCCCAAAAAAAAAAAAAAAAAAGATGCTGAACATACAAAAACATAGTCTTTTTTTCTGTCCACATTTATTATACAGCCAGCTTCCAGTCAGCATTTTTATTCTATCTCCAAAATCATCACTATATTATTTTGCTTACTGAGTGCTTGCTATTAAAAACAAGAGAGAGAGTGTTTTTGAAACCAAATAATTCCAAAAGAGGCAACTTATAACTAGAATGAAAACTAAGTATGAAAAAGATCACTAAAAACAATGGCATTGAAAATATTTGATATCAGCTTATTAAGTTCTGGCAGAAATCAAATTTGCATAATTTTTATGACATCAAAGAGTTATGACTTCTTAAATTTTTTAATTTCTGCAATTATTTGAGTAGCTGGTTTACTTTAGCAATCATATATCAAACATCTTGGCTAAAAAGAAGACTCAAATATAAAAACATCCATTCAGCAGTATTTAATGAACGTTTACTCTGTGCTAGGCGTGATGCTAATCCTGTAATATAAAAATGCACAAAATATTCTACCATCCTCAGAGAACTCCTAGTCTATCAACCACCAACATATAAATAATAATATTGAAATATAAACAGAATGCTCTGAGAATACAGAGATGTAGCAAACTATTCTGTTTGGGGGGAAGGTTTCACCAAAATGGTAATATTTGAGTTTAGTCTAGAAGAGACAGGTGAAGAGACAGTAGTACAGAATGAAGGACATTCTAGGAGAAATACAATGTATGGAAAAGCCCAAAGTCAAAATGGGCCTGGTATGCTTGGGAATAGTGAGAAATTCTGTGAGGCTGGAGCACAAAATATCTATGTTTGTAGGAGAGATAGGTGAGAGTGGAGATGCAGAAAAGGGGAAGAGAGAAGAGAGGTCGGCTGGGTCTTTATTAATAACAGGCTAAGGAGTCTGGCCTTCATTCAACAGAGACAAGGGAGAACAATGCAGTTTTTAGGCAAGAGAATGACAAGCTCAGATTTTCTATTTGGAAGGAAGCACGACGGTATATGGACTGGGTGTTGGCTGGATTAGAGCCAGTGGGATCTGGTCGCAAACATTTGCAACAACCTGGGCACGAATTAGTAAAGGTCTGGATTAATGTAGGGGCAGTAGGGTGAAAGAAGGAGACAGATTCAAGAGCCATTTATGAGATAGAGTTAATAGTATTTAGTTACTGAAGGAGTGTGGGGAATGGGAAAGACGTAAGAATCTAGGTGACTATTAGGCTTCCAGGTTAGGATACTAGATGTATGGTGATGTCAACCACTTAAGCAAAGTTTGTAGAACCTGGTTTGGGAGTGGGAGGAGGGTAGAACTGTTAATTTGTTTTGGCCATGTTAAGTTTGAAATCCTTTGGGCCACCAAGTTGAGTTGTCCAACAGGCAGATGGCCACACCCGTCTGCAGCCCAGAAGAGGAGTCAGGGCCAGGAATAGACAATGGATGAAACCTTGGGAGAGAATAGAATATAGCGTGAGAAGGAAACTGAACCAAGGATTACATTTAAAGTCCTGCTGATAATGGAACAGCCTAGTTCTCATCACATCTTTAAAGTTACCTTGTAGGTAGCTGTAAACTATCCACTATCACTATCATTCAATTTTTTAAATGTTTTTGAGCAATTTTTTTAAAAATGCATCTTGGAAGATGATTAAACTTGGCCACCAGAGGGATTGTAGTAAATTCACATTTTCTTTTGAACTTTCTGCTATAGAATACTTATCTACCTTTTGCCCAAGTGAAAGACACATGAATAGAAAGAAAAAGATGTATTCTAAGTATGAATTTAACGTGTCTACTGAGTGCACAATACTTACACTACCTAAAAGGTACCTGCCATCCTATTGAGTGCTATAGCTTTTCAGCAGTTACTGGCATGAAAGCTACTGCCCTATGACTGTCTGAATGACAGCTAGACAAATTCACAGAGTACTAAGCCCCCTATTTCTTTGTTCTATTTGTTTTTTGCTTACATTTTGACCTCCCTGCATCCTAATTTCCTTTTTTCCTTGAATTTGTGTTTGAAAAAATTCAAACCTACAAAAAAGTTGTAAAAATAGTATAATTCCATGAACATTTTTGTATACACTTCATCTATATTTGCCAATTGTTTACATATTGCTATATTTCCATGATCTCATTCCGTTTTATTTCATTTTGGTTGAACCATTTGAGAGTGAGTTGCAGACATCTGACATCTGACATTTTACCCCTGAATACATTTATTTCTTATTACTTGAGTGCTGTTGCGTGTAGGCTCTAACGATGGACAAAATACATATTTTTATGTTTATTATATGGTGAGTTCATACTGCTACCTTTAATTCCAATCCAATACGACAAGGTTCTTTCTCCCCTTCCCCCATTCCATAATTATATCTTCCTTCTTCCACAGTGAGAACACTAGTTTTCAAGAACATCAATATATTGATTCATTTGGTCAGTCTTAGAACACACACAAAAATAGTTTTGGAATTGCTAAGTCAATATCACTTCAAAAAACAAACTGACTAAATAAAGTTCAAGACTTCATCACAGTTCTCTTTGTCCTTAGAATATATCTCACTAAAGGTGTACAGAGTTCTATATTCAAAAGTCTCTCGGATTCTTTTTCTTCTCTTCTGTTTAGTTATGGTATCAGTTTGATATACACTTCAGTTCATTTGTTTCTGTTTGAATTCTATTTTAACAATCTTCAATCCTTGTTGATTTAATTTTATTTCTTGAGTATGTGAAAAATTAACATGGTTCGAAAGGCAAAACTTTATTCTGAAAATATTCTCAAAGAGGTCTCCTTCCGTTTTCTACCCCTTCACCTCATTCTCACCTACCTCCTTTCTGGAAACAGGGTCATTAGTTTTTGATTTCCCCTTCCTGTGTTTCTTTTTGTGACAGTAAGCAGATGTACACACACATTCTTACTTCTTTTTCTTGCACAAGATATAGCATTTTATATACACTCTCTCGTATCTTATTTTTTACATTTAAAGTACACCCTGGAAATCTCCCATCCTGGTTCGCAGAGATTTTTCTCATTCCTTTTTACAACAGTCTAGAAGTCGATGCACCACAGTTCATTCACATCTCCTATATATGGTCATTAAGTGGTTTCCACAATTTTGCTATTACAAACGATGCTGAAATGAATAATCTTAGGCATATTTTTTTCTTATTGTTGGAGATGTAACTTCAGGGTTAGGGTTGCTGGATCAAAATTCAGATTTGTTAGCTTTTGCCAAATTATCTTCCACAGAAATTATACCATTTTATGCTTCCACCAGCAAAGTATGAAAATGCCTATTTCCCCACAGCCTCTATAACAAAGTATGTTATCAAACTTTTGAGTTTTTTTTATCAATTTGATAGTTGAGAAATGGCATTTCTCTGATTACACATGAAGTTAGCATCTTTCCTTCTATTTGGGAGCCTTTTATATCTCCCCTCATTCCTCAACTCTCTCTCTCTCACCCCCCCGTGTGTGTGTGTTTGTATGTGTGTGTATCTGCAGCCTAATTTCAGAGTTTGACAAATTCTATAGATGAATTAGATCTTAGGAATCTTTATTTTAAAGATGAAATTGAAGATCCTAAAACATATGTAGTGACAAAGACCAGAACCCAGATGTCCCTATTTCTAATTTGCTTTTCCATTAAACTATTAACTTGTATTCAGTTCCTTTTCTTCTAGGCCAGGAAACAAGGCCTTTGCTGATTAAAGAACATATTTGAAAAGTACCTAGCAAAATACCTGCCACATTCAAGAAATATTTCTTGAACTGTATGGTAGTATTAAGCAAATTTGGCTTCAAGTGGAAATAAGCACCTATTAAACATTTAGAACAAGACCTGGTGGAGTTCTAAGCACTTGCACCAAATCGTTACTTAAGAGAAAGCGTGTGGCACCGCTTAGGCGCCATCTGACTGTTGCTTTAGAAGTTCAATGAATGGGCAGTTTTATGAATAATCAATCACACGGGAATTTTAAAAATGATTTTATACATTCAGAATGTGCTCAAAAGGTAAATATGTCCATTATTTATTATACTCTTTGCTTAAGAATGTGTTGATGTATGTACTTTTTAAAAACACACAACACCCTTACCAAGCTTTAGTTGTTTGTTTTCATTCTGTGCCTAAGTCAGGCAACCAATGCAAAGCTTTTTAAAACTTTATGTTGTTTTTTTGGACCTGAGAGTGAAGCCAGTCTTGCCCAAGCCTTGTGTAATGAATGGCTAGGCATATGTCTGAGGTAGTATGTGATTTTTTTAGGCAGTGGTAGAAGCAAAGAAGTTAATCCTGAGAGGACTTGAAAAAGCAGAGAAAAAAGAGGACACCATGATGTACCTGCTGGCTCTGAAGAATGCCCTGCTTGCGGAAGGCATCCCACTGCTTCTGAAGTACGCAGAGGCAGGGGAAGGACCCATCAGCCACCTTGCTACCACTGCTCTCCAGAGATTCGATGTCGCTTTCATAACTGATGAGGTAAATTCCCCAAGAATATTTGCAACATTCACAAAAGGAAAAAAGCATGCCTAAACATGAGTCAAATGCTGTCACCCTATTTTTTTCCATACTAACAATCTCTCTTTCCTGTTTAGGAATAACTCTTAAATTGGATTTCAGGCTATTCTGAAGCAGCCTCACATTTTGAATAGATAATATTCTATATCCTGAAGCATAAATATTGAAGCACATTCTCTTATTTTAAGAAACAAGTTCTTTTCAAAAATATCTTTACTTCCATAAATTTTAAGGTGCTGTTAAACTTTTTGACACTGAAATATCCTGGCTTAAGTATTACCATGTTGGTTCCTATAGCTACATTTTCAGGAAGCCATCTAAATTAAATTTTTGTTAGGGCAGAGCATGTTTATAAACCTCAAGATAAACGGTCTACTGAGCATGATCTTTCCAGTTTGCAGCTAAGCACCTCCCTGCCAGTTTTGTGTCAGAGTTGGTATGCTGCCAAGCATGATGGGCTTTTGAGACAGACAGACCTACATATATATTCTGGCTCTGTCCCTTCCTAGTTGTATGTGCTTAGTTAAGTTATTTAGCGCCTATATGTGTGAGAACAAGGCCAACAACATGTTGGGGAGATAGAAAAAGGCAGAGGGAAGAAGAACTGAAAGAAATATTTACAAATGCCTAGTACAGAACCCAACACACCACATATTGTTAGGCAATGCTAGTAACCAACTAAATTATTTATTGCCACAAAATGCAGTTATTTTGGCAGATTTTCTTTGGTGTTAATGTTTTGTTAAAGAAAAAGAAAAGCCCCCTAATGTAACCTGTGAACTTTGAGTGATAGTGATGTGTCAATATAGATTCATCGAATGTAACAAATGTACCACTGTGGTGCAGGATGTTGAGGAGGTTGTGTGTGTGTGTTGGAGGAGGGGAGATGGGAAGTAGGGGATATATAGGAACTCTCTGCAGTTTCAGCTCAATTTTGCTGTGAACCTAAAATTGCTCTAAAAAATGAAGTCTATTAATCAGAAAAAAGAAAGGAGAAGGGAAAATTCTGAAGTACTTCATTGCAAGGAAATATCGGTTCATATAGCCATCTCTCCCCAGAGCCCCATTGCACATAGCAGTAGTATCTTTAAAAATCTATATTAGTTCAGTAACATCTAACTAATATGCTACAATAATAAACGAGCCTCAAAATCTCAGCTTATCAAAAGTTTATTTCTCATTTATGCTCTGCCTAATGTAAGTAAGTGAAAATGTGGCCCTAAGTTCGCTACAGTAGTAGAAGAAAGAAAGGGAGAAGGCACACCAGCTCTTCACTGCCTCATCCCAGAAGTTACCCACAGCAATTCTGTTCACTGTCCATTAGTCAGAACTGTGGCCCCAACCTAAGTGCAAAGAAACCTGGGAAATGTAGGAACAGATGTACATCTTTAAGAGCACTAACTATTCCTGCCACAGTATCAATTTTAAAAATCTAGATGTGCACTAACTAAACTTGAACATCTTATGAACAGGTGAAGAAGACTTTAAACAGGATATACCACCAGAATCGTAAAGTTCATGAGAAGACTGTGCGCACTACTGCAGCTGCTATCATTTTAAATAACAATCCATCGTACATGGAAGTGAAGAACATCCTGCTCTCTATTGGGGAGCTGCCCAACGAAATGAATAAATACATGCTGTCCATTGTTCAAGACATTCTACGTTTTGAAATGCCTGCAAGGTATGGTACAGTGCACCTGTCTCTGCTTGTTCAAGCTTATTTGTGTATTGGTGTGGTACACATGTGGCTAATAAGAATGGTGTGATCATTATGCTGGGTTATGTTGCATAAAACCAAAGAGTTCGCCAAATTTCCCATATGAGAGCTATTTAGTGAGCCAAATAAAAGAACTTCATTTTGGCACTATGCTTTGGAACTCTGGGTATGATTTTCACTCTGGGGTTCCTGTTCAGTCTGGTAAATACATATTGCCAAATGTTTGCAATGGTTTAAAATTCAACTACATTTTTAATAGGACTATTTTTATAAATAACACAACAAAATGATGTAAGTTCTCGCCAAATGGTCTTTCATCTCAACTTTCCAAATGTTAAGGATCTTTGAAGCCTCATTTATTACAGATCAAATTAATTTACCATTTAAGTTTAAAACCTTAGACATGGCGCATGTTTTAGGACCAAGGTGTGAAGCAGGGATCAACAGCCTGCGTTGCACTTTTACTGGATTCATCTTCCTTCCAGTTCCTGTCTCCTCCTGAATTCACTGATGTCCCTCTTCAAAGCTGCTCCCCCAAAGCTCTCTACACCTCCTCACTACATCAGAGGGCTGGAGAAGGAATTTCCGTTTCCCCTGAGTCACATGCAGAGCACTAGCCCCAGAAAGAGTCAAATTTGAGCATTCCCAGATGAAAAGGAAAACAGACATAGGGGAGGGTGGAAAATAGGTAAAGAGAAAGGAAAGTTTTTAAAAAGGCAGTAAAGATTGAAGGAAAGAGAAATAAGGAGAAGACTGAAGGAACAAGAAACAGGGGGAGTGAGTGGAAAGGAGAAAAGAGCAGGACAATAAGGAAGATGGGCAGAACAGATGAGTGAGGGAGAAAGAAGCAATTTCTCAGGGACTCCTGGGGGACCGAGTAGACTTCTGTGTCTTCGTTTACTTTTAAGGGACTCTGTGGAGGGGATCCTGGGTGTGTTTGCTGCCTTTGTCTGGTGAACCCAGTGATTTAGGGACAGTGATGAGGAGGCTGCAGGGTAGAAAACAGCCTGGGAAAGGTGAGGAAGCCATCGCGAACACTGCAGGTCAGGTTCTCAGAACTGAAGATGCTAGAGTTGGAGGGACACGAAAGGCCAGCTCACTTGGTGTCTCTCTCCAGCGTGGGCATCTAGTCTCCTGGCAAGTGGCGTCCAGACTTTGCTTGTGCCTCTCCAGTGGCAGGAGTGCTCTGAGGAGCTTGTATCATTGTTCAGAGACTCGCACCATTGCCGTCGCTTCTTTGTATAAAAGAAATCTCCCTGTTGGCCCTGGTTTTATCCCTGGAGTAAAGCAGAGCAGGGCTAATCATTCATCCACTTGCAGGCCCTTTGAATAATTGGGGACGGCTATCTTGACCTTCCTCATGTTTTCTTCTCCAGGTTAAAATCTTATAAACGAGTGTTATTGTGGGGAAAACATATAAGGTTACCATTCCCTCCTTGCAATTATTTTCTACCTCAGATCTAGATCCAGATGTCTGTAGTTGATTATATTAATGTTTTTTGCTGTGTTGTCATATTTTATTATTACTGATATAATTAGTGTTAAGTAGTCAGGAATGGAAAGATTGCAACACTATTTAGATAGGTAGACAGGATAGAAGAACATGGGGTAAGGCTTAAGACTTACTTTAGAGAAGACAATGGTTACTGAGATGTCTCTTTAATTGAAAACTACATAAGTAGAAGAAATTCTTGGAAATTTGCTGTTATATGTCACTACAACATTGAACAACAGAACCATGGTGATTCAAAGAACACGTGTTGTCTACTCCTGAGGTGTGTCCGTCGGTCACTTCAAGCCGTCTCATAGCTAGGCGTCCTCGCCTTCTGTCATTTTGATACCACACTGAATTTCAAATATCTGAGGAATGAAGGGGAAAGCCCTAATCCCAACGCTGGCACTTCAGCCAGCACCTCTCCAGTCTTGGAGTGGCACGAGGAAAATTTGGCCCCCCCTCTTTTTTCCACTGAGGTTTGGATGTTTTCCAAATCTGACTTGGAAAACAGCCGTTACAATGAGTGTGCAGCTTTTCCCTTTCCTGTGTTGCAGCAAAATGGTCCGTCGAGTTCTGAAGGAAATGGTTGCTCATAATTATGACCGTTTCTCCAAGAGTGGATCGTCTTCTGCCTATACTGGCTACATGGCACGTATGTAACCCAAAGAAGGGTTCTCCCTCCATGCCCTTCCCCAACTTGCTATTGCTGGAACTCTTATTAAATGACAGGGCTTTTTTGTCATTAGGTAGTCCCCACTCGGCAGCTACTTACAGCCTTGACATTCTTTACTCTGGTTCTGGCATTCTAAGGAGAAGTAACCTGAATATCTTTCAGTGCCTTGGGAAGGCTCATCTTCACAGTAGCCAGGTAACTCATTTTCCGTTAATTTTGCTTAATAAAGTATGTAAGAAATGAGGCTGAGGTAAAATAAAATATATACTGATGGTAACACTATAGAATGCATAAGTTAATTGTGGCTTCTGCTGTAAGTCACTCACGATTCCGTCATCTACAAGAGGCTGTATGGTTTATAATCCCAGAGAGAGTTTCAGACATGAACTTGAAACCTAAGTAAGTTGACTCACTGGATTTGCCAAACATCCATTTGTCATTTCAAAGGTATACATATTCACAAAATTGAAATCACGCCAGTATTTCTCACATATTCTTTTTAAAATATTTTGTTTTTATTCACAGACGTATTTCTTAGAATCATATATTTAATTCTAGAATTAAGAATTCTAGATATTCTAGATAAAGAAACACCTTTATCTAGGTGTTTCTGTGAAGAGACTGATTCCCCATAATAAAAACTTTCATAATAGCATATGGCTTTCTAAAGAGCCAGTCTATATTTTTCAATACTGCTAGGAGAGAAAAGAATCAAGTGTCAGCTTTTGACAGCTAGTTGACTTCCATCTGTTTGGTTTTGTGACAATCTATAAAGGCTTCCTAACTATGAAATATATTTTCCTTTTAGTTTTTATGCATATCAAATTATGACCTTCTAAATAAGCTCATTTAAGATTTAAAAATTATCCAGTGCTATATAAACTTGAGTTTGTATCAATATTATATTACCACACCCTTTGATAGGACTCTAGTCAGAATACTATGCCCTTCTGTCCTGAGGAATTGCCATCTGTTTTCTGACATGAGCTCTGAAATGCCAAACACCCGATGGTTAAGGGGCTGGGTGTGGAGGACAAAGAAGATGCAGGATTCCTATGTATGGCGGAGATCAGGATGTGAGCCCATCATCTTTTCCTTTGGCTAGAGAGAAAAGCTTGACACAGAAAGTTGTGAGTCATGACTTAGAGAGTTCCACACCCTCTCATAGCAGAAGCCTGAGGTCGACTGCCCCAACACCTCTCCATCCCCTGTTAGGGGCTCTACAGGATAGCCCAGCTGTTATGTTCGACAGTCCTGGAGAGACTAAGAGTCTCTAGGATGACGCATAAAATGGAGAGCTCATGGCCTTTGTAGTCAGACAGAGAGGGTTGAATCCTGCCTCTGCCATTTGAGCATTTTTTTTGCTTCATCTACAAAATGGATAAAATCATATGTACCTCAGAGGGTGGCTGTGAGGATCAAATGAAGAAAACTAACTTTCCTTATATTCAGGCATAGAGTTGTTGTTTTGTTTTTGTTTATTTATTTACTTTTTGCCTAGCTGCTGCCGATATTTGAATTTTTGACCCCTAGAAAAATTCTAGCTGTAGCTCAGAAGCTTCACCATCACTTACTTAATAGGTGGGAAGCTCATATCATGACTGTTATATCCATTTTCCCCTAGGTAGTCATTGAAGCCCAAGGACTGGAGGCCCTAATTGCAGCCACTCCCGATGAGGGGGAGGAGAACCTTGACTCCTACGCTGGCATGTCAGCCATCCTCTTTGATGTTCAGCTCAGACCTGTCACTTTTTTCAATGGATACGGTGATTTGATGTCCAAAATGCTGTCAGCATCTAGTGACCCTATCAGTGTGGTGAAAGGACTTATTCTGCTAATAGATCATTCCCAGGTAATTCATTCATTCTGCAAGTATTTGTTGAATCCTTAAAATGTACCCGGCACGTTTTCAGTGTGCTCTATGCTTGGAGGATACAAGACAAATTTCCACTCATCCTGGAGCTCACATTCTAAGCATTCAGCCCTTTTTCTATTGGTGCCCTTTCTACTTTTCTCCTTTGCTGTAGGTAAGCAGGGGTTTTGTTTGTTTTTTAGGGGTTTTTTTTGGCCTTTATTAACTGATTTAGAAATTTCACTGTTGAGGCAAAAGAGAAAATACTCAATGTCAATTCAATAAAACTGAAAGGAAAAAAAGAGAAAATGCTTATGCTAACAGAAACAAGAACTTATGGAGAAAATAACCTAGGATACAACAGAGCAGAGATGGCATTACGTCTTCACTTGGCTTTTCTGGGCTCGAGTGCGTAGATGATATTGATTGTGAAGGCTGGCGCTGAGCTGCATGGCTTCCCATGTGACTGATGACATTTATCATGACAACAGTGATGAAGATCCATAGAGTGTGTTATTTTGACCCTGCCAAATTAGTAGAGGTACAACCACTGACACCAACCACGTGTTTCATGGAGATTCTTTGCCCCAAATTCTCATGTTCACAGAATCTTACAGAGGTTCATTCATTATCAGAGAATAGGAGTACTTTCATTCACTTGAACTGCATTCTTCAGAATGGTTTTCAATTTTTCTCACCCCAACTGTTACATTACTGTATTAAAGGATGGCAATACTATCTTCTGTGCAGTAAGAGTTGGTTGACCAAGATACTATGGAATGGGAGTGGTCTGCCTCATTGGATTTTCTGAGAAATAGAAGAGGATTAATCTGAATAACCTTTGAGTTTGAATGTTTGATGCTTAAAATTTTTTTCTTTAATGGCTTGACTTATTTCCTGCCTTACTAAGCATAGCAATGTAAAAAATGGAATATTTGCTAAATAAGGATCTTATGGGAAATCCTTAAAGTGATCACTATGAACTCTAATTCATCCTTAGGATATTGAAGATATATGAGGCGATTGGATTAAAATTTACAGACAGTAGGATTTGCTTGGGAAATTTGCTTTTGTGGTTTAATAAATTCACAGGTAATAGCCTAGGTTTGAATTTTGCCTTCACTAGTTACTTTCTGTATTCTCTTGGGCAGTTGGTTAATAGCTTTAAACTAGGATTTCATACTAATACAGTAGTTCTCCCCTTATTCGCGGTTTGCTTTCCGTGGATTCAGTTACCCACGGTCAAACCCAGTCTGGAAAATAAAACTAGGTCACAATGCCTACATCATTCACCTCACTTCATCTCATCACATAGGCATTGTATCATCTCGTCCCATCACGTGAAGAAGGGTGAGTTCAGTACAATAAGATATTTTGATAGAGACCACATTCACATGTGGTAACTTTTATTGCAGTATATTGTTATAATTGTTCTATTTTGTTATTAGTTATTGTTGTTAATCTCTTACTGTGCCTAATTTATAAATTAACCTTTATAATAGGTATGTATGTATAGGAAAAAACATAGTATATACAGGGTTTGGTACTGTCCATGGTTTCAGGCATCCACGGGTCTTGGAAAATATCCCCCACAGATAAGAGGGTACTACTGCAAAGTGAGGCATTTGGAACAGATGATCCAAAGTTTATACTATCTCCATTCTTTGCCAGATAATTTGAGGATTCTGATTTGTTGGGTTCTGATTATGAAATGGTGGATTTTAAGACCTGAGAGAGACCTTAAATATCAGATTTTACTAAAACTCCTCCCAAACATTGTTAGTTGGAACTAAATGTCAATTCCCCATCTTTATTATTCTTCACAACAGTTCAGGATGCTGTATATAACAAAAAAGCCAATTTAGGGTGGCTTAAGCAAATAGTTCGATTTTTACCATGTAACAAATATTTGGAAGTAGGCAGTCCAGGATTACTATGGAAACCCTAAGATATTATCAGGATCCAAACTCTTCTTCCCTTAGATTAGCCATGTTTACTAGTGGCTTGTCCCTCATGCTTGTCCCCTCGTGATTATCAGCTGACGGCTGTACTACCAGCACTACCTCCTCATTCCAGGAGGAAGGAAGGAAAGGGTAAGGGGCAGCGGAGTCTGAGTCTTTTTCAAGAACTTTCTTGGAAGCTCCATCTGTTCCTATAAGAGATAAGCGTCTACAAAAGGAAGCCCTTTTGTTATTGACCAAAACTGTGTCATATGATGTCTCCAGCTGCAAGGCAGGCTGGTAAATATGGTTTTTCAATGGGTGCATTGTCGCTCTACACAAAACTGTATTTCTGTTAATATGAATGAAAAGAAGAAGGACAACCAGTAGTGCCTCTCATGTCCCTTAATCCTCAAGGGCACACATGAGAAGCGGTTCTCAGATTCTATCAGAATTTTACACCACACATTTCCATTGCAGCGTGGTCCCTGGGGAGATGCATTCTTAATGAAAGACACAGGAATAATAACAGTTCAACACCATCTGTATGTGCTCAGCTACCCGTCAACAATGCCTGATGGTCTGAATCAGGTGTAAAACTTGATGCAAATTCAGGGGAGGAAGACTATCCTCCACCCACTCTGGGTCCTTTCTCTCTGGGCTACAAATTAAATTGACATGAGACCAAATAGCAGGAGAAAATCAAAGAAAACTTTGTAATGTGTATACATGGGAGAAACCAGGGAAACTTAGTTTCTGGGCAAATATTCAGGTAGACGAAGGAGGATGTTGGGGGTGGAAGAGTCAGCTATGAGAGATTACCAGAAAGCACAATAATCAAGAGTATGCAGATTTAAGTCCTCACCTTCTTTCCACACTGATAAGAGTTTCTGGAGATAAGGTCATCCCTCCTTCTTCCTGGTACAGAGAAGGAGATACCTTTACAGATGGACATTTCCCTAAAACAGAACTTTGATAAGAATCGGCTTAGCAAGGACCCTCCCAATCTATTGCTTTTGGCAGTTTGTGGGGAGGTCAAATGTTCTTCAGAGAAACTAATCAAGGTAGAGAGACATATTTTGAGGTGGCCAATTCTGATCTCCCACATAAACATAGGTAGTAATCTAGATCAGGGTCAGCAAACTTTTCATGTAAAGGGCAGAAAGTAAACATTTTAGACTTTATGGGACACATGATCTCTGTTGCAACTATTCAACTCTGCCGTTGTAAAGTGAAAACAGCCATCAAGTAATATATTAACAAATGAGTATGGAAGTGTTCCAATAAAATTTTATTTACAAAAGCAGCAAGGGGCCAGATTTGCCTGCAGGTCATAGTTTGCCAACTCCTGATCTAGGTTATCTTGTAAGATTTTTCTGTTCATTAAGTGAGGGCACGTAAGGCATAGTCTAAGAAAAAGATCGTCCCCTCACTATTAAACATAAGCCAGTGTCTGAGTATTTCAGGGTGGAGTATTTGGCAGATCGGGGGTTACTATACAAATAAGCTGTTTAAGGCTCCCTGGCTCCACAGAGCACTCCAGTAATGCCATCCCAGCTTCAGAGGCACATACCACTCTAGGTCAAGTGCTGACATTGAAGGAAAGTTTGGCAATGGGTAGCCTGTCACAGCCACTAGGGCAGATGGAATTACTCTGTGCTCACTCTCTCTCTTTTTTCGGCTAATTGGATTACTCTTCAGAGAAGGATGTCTGATAAAGTCAGCTTAATAAGGGGATCTTCTTTAGCCGGGAAAGAACATGTTTTCCTGAATGGAAGCAATGGAATGAGTTGTCAAAATGTCAGTGTCTGAACTGTAAAAAACACCTTTGGGACCAAAGGTAAAAGTTCAAAGGGGTCACATTAGCTACAAATACAGAGCTCCTGGATCTTGTTCCTGTAGTTCATGGGCAATAATTTAAACAAACATGCTTTCTGGGTCAAACAAAGATATAAGCCTATGCTCTTTTGTGCAACATTTCTCAGAAGAGGCCTCCTGCACGCCAGGAGACACAAGAGAGTTCTGATTTCGTGATAGCCATGTCTGGTGGTAGAAAAGTCTCCACCCTAGAGACAGTCTGGGTATTCATTCAGGCTCCATGTATGGCCACCAAGCCTGATTTTTCTTTTCAATCTTCAGATATAACACCTACCATGGGAGATTAGTATGAGAATTAAATGAGACATCAAACATAGACACAGTAGGGACACAGTGGGTGCTTAAAAACTGTTAGTTCCACCTATTTTATACCCCTCACAAGTTAGAACCACTGTACTATGTGATTTAGTCCCTATCACAAAGAAAGAGTGGTTTGTCCTTCCACAGGGATCAGTGGTTAGTCCTTTTATGGGGGTCCAAGAAAATTCCTCTGTGACTACATGTCAGAGTTCTTCCATGATCTCTTTGCATGAGAGAAATGGAATCTTCCCAGAAAGCCAAGGCACTCCTCAAAACCCATACTGCAATGGAAAAGCTCTCTCTCCAGAAGAGGCACATTGTCTAATAGCCGTGAAATGTTCTTTTCCACGGCACTTGGTATATTTTGACATGCACCTAATATACAGTCAGTGGGAAGGTCAAAGTCCTCATCACAGACCTTTTCTGGGTTGCATGGACTAACAAGATTATAATTTTCAAATTGGCAAGAGAGGACAAGATCCAAAAAAAGAAATGCTTCTGAGGCAGGGCACACAGTAGGGCTCATTTGGGAACAATCACAATTACGGTGCAAATGCAGAACTCTGATATCTTGGTTCTGCAGTTCATAGACATAGGTTAAAATTTGGGCATGGTTATTGTGGTTTTCTCTGGATAATTTGTATTCTTTCATATTAGTTGAGACAACCCCTGTATCCTACCACAGCCATATTTTATTCTAGACTGAATGTAGCTATAAGTAACCTGAGGGCTCTCTCCTAAAGTGTCCTGAGCTCTGTGTTGGGTCTCACGCTTTCAACAAAGCATCTTTCAGACTGAAAGTAGCTTCATGCCACAATCAGACTTTTCCAGTATACCTGGTTATAAAGCAAGTCCTCTGACTGAGATTACTGGCCACCTTTTTCAGAAAGTGGAGAGAATTCGGGGAGATCAACATGATCCTTTCTAGAAAGCAAAATCACAGCATTTGTAGCTGGCAAAAGCACAGCTTGTTTGGTCTGAGCAGGGCAGTTACATAAAGAAGTTAGTCACGCTGCCACTTGCCGTGAACCACGGTCTTTGGAGGGATATCAAAATTAAGGATACTGAGCCTTTTTTCCAGAACCATTATCATTTCCAATACTGTCCCCAGGCAATCTGATTGCAATCTAGCTGAAGATATTTTCAGCCAATGTCACTCCACCTGATGTACATTGTAAATGCAAGACTTAAAGGCTAAATGCTGGCAAACAGCACAAAACAATGGGTTTCAGACAACTACAGAATTGCTCGGGATGGACTATGTTTGCAAATGAGTACTGTCCCTCTGGAATATGCTCTTGAGTTCATGTTGGGCTTGTCTGTTAAATTGATGTCATTCCAAACGTCAAACAACAGACATTAAGGCTTAGTTAAATCGCCTTGCCTTCCTTTCCTAGCTCGATCTAGGTGATTGCTGGAACTTGTACAGGGACCAGCAGTTTTTATCCTGCCTTTCATTTGCCAGCAGGATGCAGTTGTCTATATTTCACATAGCACATAGCCAGAGAAGTGCTGAAGGACCTCAAGAGATCGTCTAGCTTGACCCCTCACCCTAACGCCAAAGCCATGGCTGGATTTCTGATGGAGATGCCTTCATTTTCCCCAGTCTGATGGTTCTCAAATTTAGGTGCATCAGAATCATGTGAGGGCTTTTTAAAACACAAATTGCTGGGGCTGGCCTGGTGGCGTAGTGGTTAAGTTCGTGCACTCTGCTTCAGCAGCCCGGGGTTCGCACCTTTGAATCCCCAGTGTGGACCTATGCACTGCTCATCAAGCCATACTATGGTGACATCCCACATACAGAATAGAGGAAGATGGGCACAGATGTTAGCTCAGGGCTAATCTTCCTCAGCAAAAAGAGGAGGATTGGCAACGGATGTTAGCTCAGGACCAGTCTTCCTCACGAAAAACAACAACAACAGCAAAAAACACACAGGTTGCTGGGCCCCACCCTCAGTTTCTAATTCAGTAGGTGTGGGACTCAACATTTCTACCAAGTTCCCAGTACCCTGTTGTTGTTCCTCAGGGGACCACACTTTGAGAAACTTTGCCTCTCCCAAAATGAGGCAATGGTTGAAAGAAAACACCCTTCTCAATTGGCGCTTCGCTTCTCTAGAATTTTAGTTGACTAACTAATTTAACAAATCAGCAGTCTACTTCTAGTGATCAAGATTAGAACAACATATTTCCAAGCCTAGAGAAATACTCTAACATTAACACAACTCAGATGGTATTATCTACAGCAGGAGGTTGAATGTGCCTTTGGGAAGGGGTTGGCTAAATTGTGCTTATTATTGTTATTACTACTATTGTATATTTTTGTTTCTAGGAGCTTCAGTTGCAATCTGGACTGAAGGCCAATATGGAGGTCCAGGGTGGTCTAGCTATTGATATTTCAGGGGCAATGGAGTTTAGTCTGTGGTATCGTGAGTCTAAAACCCGAGTGAGAAATCGGTAAGCATGTGTATAATATTCTATGCAAAGAACTGCAGAGATATGTTTTTGGAATTGTTTAACCCTCTGAGTTTTCAAAATCTATGCTTTCTATTTGTAACCATTAGATCACAGAGTAGGAAGTAACCATGGGAAGTCGTTCTTTCCGTAGCTGCTTATGAGCAGCTCGATACCTAATACAACTCAGCCAAGAATCTTCCTGTTTTTAAAAACATCCGTAGACAGCATGCCCCATGGATGAGAGGTTCATCTTCTCTTGGTATTCCACTTCAGTAGTTGACAATGCTGTCAGGAGATTTTACTTTGAAGCAAACTTTTTAGCTTATCCCTCTTGTTGGGGTTTAGAATCTTTCCTCTTTTGCTGTCTTCAGTGGATAAAAATAAAAAGATGATCATTTTTGTGTAGAATCTAAGACTTAAACATTAGGAGTCTTTGAGTTTTTTTGTTAGCATTCATTTTTCTAAACAAAATGTTTTCAGCTCATTTAGTTTTTTCTAATCTACCTCTCACTTCAAATTGAAGTATTTTACTTTGAATATAGAACAGTTTCTCCAAGCCAGTGTGATAATCCAAGAAATTATTCTTCTGTTTGTTACAGAATTGAAGAAAAAGAAATGGAAAATGCAATTAATTTTTACTTTTTTGGATATTTAAAAATATGGTGGGGCAGAAGTGAGATAGGAGTGATAAAATTAAATTTTTGATTTATTTTAAACTATGGATTAAGGAATTGAAAACAATCAAAAGGTGGCACATATAACGTGAAAGGTGACCCACAGTGTTACTAAAAGGAGCCAAAGAATGAGAAATGGAACAGGCCATCAGAGGGATCAGCAACATAATTTAGGGCTTCCCACTGAATCAGTCATCTTTCTTCTCTTTCTGAAGTATTTTCTAGGTGGAAGTTTCCCCAAATTAAACTGAATTGAATTCTTTGCAGAAAGAAATCAACAACAGCAACAACAAAAAACATTTAGATTTTTAAAGAGGACACAGTACCCCTAAAATTCTATCAGTATCCACATTGTAGCCAGTCTATCTTCAATTTTTCATTTGTTCAATTTAAACAATATCTCTTAAGCCTTTGTTGAGAGTAAGATATTAGAAAGTATGTCAAGGGATTCAGGGATTTAAATGATACCACCTCTGACCTACTTTTGCACTGACAACAATGTCAGCAAGTGTTCTAAGTTGCACAGCAATGATTAGTATCCCTATCAAAAAAGCATGGACAGACAGCTCGGATTTAATCGTGGGAGTAATTTCCCACAAATTCTCTTAAAGTCTACAATTAAACGAGAGTGGTTCTAGAGATAAGCCTTCCACTGGGATTCTTTATCCTCTTCATCCAAGCCACATTCCCTAGTCAATTCCATCTATCTGTCCAGTTCTGTAGGTGATTGTTGGAGAACTCACCATATCTGTCCTTCCTGGGGCACCCATTGTACATGCCCCACTGTGGGAATGGTTCTTTGTGACACAATATTTTTTCAAAGATCTTTGCAACCATAGACTTATGTCTCTAGAGACTCTTTGGAGAAAGTAATGAAATGGAGTGGAAATAGTTACATAAAAGCCAACAGAGAGATAGTTACCAAGAAAATTGTTACAAACACCAGCTGTCTTCTCAGTGATGTTAGACTTTGTTTTGAGATAACTCAGGTATTTCTAACTTCCTAAGAGGACCAGGTTCCAGGCATGTTTTCATCTTGGCCCTTGGTATGCCCATACCAAATAGTAGTACCTGATAAACGCTTCATTCCCACATCTAGGACTGAAGGCTGGGTGAGGGCACAGGGGAAGGGCAAACCTTCACCAGGCCCTGGTTACCAACAGAACTCTAAGTGCATTTAGGTCACATATTAGTTACTTAAGTGTTTCTTTCCAGTCATCAGTGTCACAAGTTCAGACCCTGTGAAACGACAGCTGTTAGTGCAGCTCAGTTAAATGTGATGTTAACAGTTTTTTTTGCCCAAATCCTTAGGGTGGCTCTGGTAATAACTGGTGATATCACTGTGGACTCCTCTTTTGTGAAAGTTGGCCTGGAGGTCAATGCAGAAACAGAAGCAGCCATGGAGTTTATCTCCACAGTGCAGTTTTCTCAGTACCCATTCTTAGTTTGCATGCAGATGGACAAGGATGGAGCGCCATTCAGGTAAGAAGCAGTGCTCATGGAATGTTCCAGGGCCATCCCCAGTTTACCAGGACCTTGCACCCAGTTTGAGCATTTAGTTTCAGAAATTTAAAGAAAATGGTAAAAATCCAATGAAACATGAATTTTCTTTAAATGAGTAAAAGAATAATTGATAAGGCTAAAAAAAAAAAGTCAGTTTGTAGGATATCAAGAAACTGTAGTGACTAATTACTTTGATTCTGGAGATATATTCTAATCCAGAAATAATTTATCAAGGAAACAAAGGGATTTGATTTACTGTAAGAGTTGCCATGTAGTTTCAGCAAAAATAATGGACACATGTATTATTGGCTATCTTCACAATTGTCTCCTGGACAGAAAGTTCAAAACAAAACACCTGGCAATCATTTACCATGGTTTAAGAGCCCAAGTGAAGTCACAAATTTTAGGTAATCCATACAACAACAACTTGACCTTGTTTAAGTTTTGGCTCAAGCTTGAGAGTTTGAGATTTTGAAATTAAAAAAAAATGCTTTCAGTAGAATTTTTAGAGTCTCAAAAACCAAATATATATATAATTTAATTGTCCATGTAATTTTCCCAACACCTCTTCCACTACAGAGCTTCTCATTTATACTGTGTCCTTTGCATCTTGTAAGCATATTTATAAAAATACTATCACGTGGAAGTAGAATGCTTTGGGTCTAGGTAGCACTGACTCTTGTTAGTTGTAGAGGTCTCCTTGGCATGCACTACTAACCATGGAGGCAATTTGTATACTTAAAACAGCAAGCCATATCCTACATATCTCCTTTGATAAGTAGGCCAGAGTTGAGTACCTTTCTTTATTTTATTGACATTTCATGATCCATCTAAGGAATATATAAATGATATAAGTACAAACATGAATAGGTTATATTTTTACAGAAGAAAAGATAGTGGATTATAATAAGAATATTAAGCAATCACTAACTTATACTAACTCATATCTAGAATAAACCTCCATTAGTGTACTAAAAAAAATCAACCTGCTAATGGTCAAAATGCAGTGACCACCAGCCCAAGCATATGGCTAACTGGTTTGGTTCCACATTTCACTCAGGCCAGAGCTCTGGGAATGTTTCCCTGTCAGCATTCTCAGCTTAAGTCCAGCTGGACTTGCTACTTACTCAAAGGGGAGTGCTCCCAAGGTGGGGCTCCTGGAATGAGGGGTGGGAGCCATAGCAAGGCCTGCAAAGCTTAACAGCATCTCCAAAAAGCTGAAAGGAATTTAGTCCTTAATTACAAAAAAAATGTATGGCAGGACTCGCATTCCCAGGCATTTGAAGCGTGTAGTGTATCTGTTGGTGTAAAAAGAAAGGGGAAGATAAAGATCGCCCCGTTCATGGGAATGAAAGCTGGGTGTCTTTGGCACTCGTGTCCCTTCTCAAATTGCTTTGAAACGGAAGCTTCAAGTGTACACTCAGTAACTTGGCTCTGACGAGTCTGAGGTGACTTCAATATGTGTGTGATTTTGTTATTGTTGTTGTTGTTATGCAGGCAATTTGAGACAAAGTATGAAAGGCTGTCCACAGGCAGAGGTTACGTCTCTCGGAGAAGAAAAGAAAGGCTGGTAGCAGGGTCTGAATTCCCACTCCACCAAGAGAACTCTGAGATGTGCAAGGTGGTTTTTGCCCCTCAGCCTGAGAGTAATTCCAGCAGTTGGTTTTGAAACTGATGAGTAATGTTTCACTTGACTCTGTCTCCCCAGAAGGGGTAGAATGTGACATGCCAAAGTACTTGCTCTTTGAGAGCACAGTGTTTACATATTTACCTGTATTTAAGATTTTTGTAAAAAGCTATGAGAAACCTCAAATGGTTAAATTTGGGCCTATTCAGTATACTACCTACAGTGTCAATTTTGAGCCAACATATGTGACAGTTTTAGCAACAATCTAAGTTTTCTTGTACCTCTCTCAAATCCCATTTGATACACTGAGAATAGTTCTGCTCTAAGAAGAAACTATTGTTTATAAAAAAACAAAACAAAACAAAACACTCACATACTCAGAGAACCCAACTTTGTTTCAACAATTTTCAATCTGTGCATGTGAAGCCCTTGATAGAACCTTAAACATAGATTGTTTCTACCAAACATGTTGCCCAATCAGGAGAAAAATGGACCTTTTTTTCTTCTTTTTGGGGGGTAGGGGGAGGGTACAAGACTTTTTAAAGACTTTTGTCAGCCAACTTCGAGAATTAATATTTATCTCTTCTGTTGCTGGTTTTACTAAGCCTTGAGGTAGAAGGCACACAGATTAAAACAAACCATCTCATCTTGCTGCTGACCACGTTGTCAGATTGCTAGAAAAAAGCCCTTCAGTCTTCAGCCCTCTGCCCCACAAAGTATTGGACTTGGCACATGGGAATCAGAAATATCAATTTCAGAAACTCTGTTTGATTTTTCTTGTGCTGTGTCTCTTTGAGACTGTAATGTAGTACACTGTCCTTTATAAGGGACATCTTCATGTAGTCATCATTTTAGCTTTCATTCAATTGTTTTGTGGTAGAAATTCCAGTCTGTTTGACCACAATCATGCAAAAGCCAGAATGGCTGAGAGAATTTCAGCCAAAGAGAATACTGCTTTGAGAAACGGATGGATTTGGACTTCTAAAATATGAAATCAAGAAAAGATCATCTTTATTTGTGTAAATTAAAAGAGCCATGTTAAACATTTTAAAATATTTATTAATAAAACAGATACATGTGTGTATAGTCATAAACCCAAACAGATAACAGGTGCTCATTTTTCCATTAAACACACACACAATGGAAGTTTGGCTAGCCCACCACTGGTTGTAAATTTAAAATGATGCATGATGAAATAAATATGTGGAAATCCTACTGAATTGCTTTTGTCTTTCATTACTACAAACACTGTATTTCTCTATTCTTGACACTTTCTGAGCCCAGATATATATACAAATAAACCTCTGCGGCTCTGTAGAAGAGGCCAGATTCTGTAAAGGGAGGTCAAAGCCTTTTGGAAAATGGGCCACTGAAAATTGCAGCACTCAGAACCGCTTAAGGCCCTGTAAACTTGAAAACAAGCTTCTAAGCCCAGTTTTCATAAAAGGTGGACCGGCTCCCTTATTGTTATGTTATTGAGAAAAGAGAAAGGAATCAAAAACTGAAGTGGGGGGTGTGTCATTGGTGGCATTGGCCTTGGGGGAAGCCCTCTCTAAAGATACTCACGCTGCAGCAAAAGCAAGTTGAGCTAGAGCACTAGGCCGAAGATTTCATGGGCTAAGGAACCTCAGCCATGTCATGTTCAACAATTCACGGCTGCTTCTGTGAAATGTAAAATAATAATTTACTTAAGAGTGATGGCTGCCGTGTCCTAGATGTTAGTGCTATGCTACTTCCCAACTGCTCATCTGCCTGGCTGAGTCAAATACAGCCCCCCGTTTAGAGAATGGATAGTACTTAGCAACTCTAACACGCTCCAAAGCAACAAGAAACCTGAAGCATAAAACAAACATTAACTTCTTTCTAGACAAATTAGATAGAAGTTTAAGAAGAATGGAGTGATAGTCCGCATTTTGAAATGATGTGTTAGAGCCAGGAATATAACTGTAAACCTCACTTGCTGTCTTCTAGTTCTGACCACTTCACTGGCTCAAACATCAGTGTCCAGATGGCTTTGTCCTCTGCAAAGAGGTCCGTCTGGGAACTGCGCAGCCCTCTGACATGGGCCTCTGCCCAGTCAGCTTCTTCCTGCAGACCTTGAGCGTTTAGCCTGGCTGATTTCCTCTGCAAAGTGCTCCTGCCATTTCCTGCCTCTCGTTGGCCTTCTGCCCGTGACAAGTTGCTCTTTGCTTCTCTGAATCTGACTACCTCCAAAAATATTTTTTAATCATCTAACACTTATTTAGTGCTTATCATGGGCTAGGTATTTTTAAGCATTTTACATATATTAAATCATTTAATTCTCACAATAACTGTGTTTAACAGGCAGCATTATTATTTCCGTGTTCTAGATTGGCACTGTCCAATAGAAATATAGTGTGAGCCACATAAGTACTTTTAAATTTCTAGTAGCCTCATTAAAAAAAATAAACAGAAGCAGATAAAATGAATTTTAATAATATATTTTAACCCAATATATCCAAAGTATTATCATATCAACATGTAATTAATATCAAATGATTAATGGGATATTTTATTTTGGGGGGAGGATTAGGTCTTTGAAATGTGACATATAATTTGCATACATAGCACATCTCCTTTGGGATTCGCCCCATTTCAAGCGCTCAGCAGCCACATGTGGCTAGCAGTTACTGAAATGGACAATACAGTTATGGACAGAGAAACTGGGACACAAAAGACGTTTAACTCACCCCACAGAAGACATTGTCTCAGCTAGAAAATGGCAAAACTAGGATTCAAGTATAAATCATCTCACCCCAGAATCTGCTCTCTGAATCCACTATACTATATTTCCCAGGTCGTTTTCGTTTTAAAAATTTGCTGCTAAAAGAATATAGACAGTAGTTATGAAAGTGACAAATGTGGGACAGCAGCTACAAAGCTTTAGGCTGTATTACAGAGTTCTGGGAGTCAGCGCCCTTTCTCTGTGGTTCTTGTGTCTCTTTCTCTGGCAGTATCAGAAGTCTTTGTCCACTTGTAGGCCTCTGTTTTTTTCTTTGCCAAGTGTCCCTTCCTCCATGAAGGGTACTTCATCCTTGGAGGCAGGTCTGAATGTGCACTAATGAATGTGCAGTTTTTTGAATTCAGCTTTATTGAGATATAATTCACATATCATACCATTCACACATTTATAGTATAGAATTCTATTTTTATATTGTATATAAATATAGTACATTCACAGACTTGTACGACTATCACCACAATCTATTTTGGAACATTTTCATCATTCCAAAAAGAAACCCATACCCTTTAGCTATTACCCCCAATCTCCTCATCTCCCAGCCCAAGGCAATAACAAATCTACTTTCTGTCTCTATAGATTTATTCATATAAATGGAATCATATAATACGTGGTCTTTTGTGACAGGCTTTGTCACTTAGCATTATGCTCTCAAGGTTCATCCATGCTGTAGCATGTATCAGTACTTCATTCTTTTTTAAGGTTGAAAAATATCTCATTATGTAGATATGCCATTCATCAGTTGATGGACATTTGGATTGTTTTCATCTTTGCTTTTATGAATCATTCTGCTATGAAATTTTGTGTACAAATTTTTGTGTGGGCATACATTTTCATTTCTCCTGGATATATACTTAGGAGTAAAATTGCTGGATCAAATGGTAACTCTATGTTTAACTTTTTAAGAATTGCCAGATTGTTTTCCAAAGTGGCTACACCATTTTACATTCCCACCAGCAGCGTAGGAGGGTGCTGATATCTCCACTTCTTATACAACACTTATCTTTCTTTTTGATTATAGCCATCCTAGTGGGTGTGAAGAGGTATTTCATTATGACTTTGATTTACATTTCCCTAATGACTGTTGATGTTGAGCATCTTTCAATGTACTTATTAGCCATTACATATTATTACATCTTCTTTGGATAAATGTTCATTCAGATCCTTCATCCTTTTTTTTTTTTCAATTGGGTTATTTTTCTTTTTATTATTGAGTTATAAGAGTTTTTTATATATTTCAGGTATAAGTCCCTTATCAGATACGTGATTTGCAAATATTTTCTCCCATTCTGTGAGATGTCTTCTCATTTTCTTGATAGTGTCTTTGGAAGCACAAAAACTTTTAATTTTGGTGAAATCCAATTTATCTATTTTTTGTTGTTGTTGCTTGTACTTTTGGTCATATCTAAGAAACCATTGCCAAATCCAACATCATAAAGATTTACCCTTATGTTTTCTTCTAAGAGTTTTATAGTTTTAGCTTTAAATTTAGGTATTTGATTCATTTTGCATTAATTTTTGTATATTGTGTGCAGTAGGGGGCCCAAATTCATTCCTTTGTGTACAGATATCCAAATGTCCCAACACCATTTGTTGAAAAATGATTCTTTCCCCATTGAATTGTTTCGGCACTCTTGTTGAAAAGCAATGGACTAAATGTAAAGGTTCATTTCTGGATTGTCAGTTCTATTCCATTAATCTGTATATCTATCCTTATGCCAGTACCACAGTGTCTTGATTACTGTTGCTTTGTAATAAGTGTTGAAATTGGGAAATGTGAGTCCATCTAATTTGTTCTTTTTCAAGATTGTTTTGGCTATTCTGAGTCCCTTAAGTTTCCATATGAATTTTAGGATCAGCTTGTCAATTTTTACAAAGCCAGCTGGGCGTGTGTTGAACCCGTGCATCAGTTTGAGGAATATTGCCATCATAATATTAAGTCTCTTGATCCATGGACGTGGGGCATCTTTCCGCTTACTTAAATCTTCTTTAATTTCTTTCAACAATGTTTTGTAATTTTCAGAGTATAAGTTTTACAATTTTTTTGTTAAATTTATTCCAAGTGTTTTATTATTTTTGATGCTACTTTAAATTGATTTGTTTTCTTACTTTCATTTTAGATTGATCATTGCAAGTGTATATAAATACAATTGATTTTTGTGTATTGATCATGTATGTTGCAAATCTGCTGAAGTCATTTATTCGTTCCACTATCTTTTGGTAGCTTCCTTAAGATTTTCTGTGTAAAAGATCATGTCATCTATAAATAGAGATTGTTTTACTTCTTCCTTTCCAATCTGAATGTCTTTAATTTCATTTTATGGCTTAATTGCCTTGGCTAGAACCTCCAGGACAATGTTGCATAGAAGTAGTGAGAGGGGACATGGCAAAGATGATGGTGCTGGTGAAGATGGTGGGGGGCAACAGCAGTGACAGACAGTAATGACCACAGAACGTGAAAGGAAGTCTCATCTAACAATGGCTCTAGCTCTATTTTCACTAAGTAAT